TTAACCTAGGTGGGCAGCCTCTTAGAAAACACACTTATGGCCATATTTTAGACCAACTCAAAAATATTGCTTTTTTAAAGAACTGGAGGCAGAGTGAGCGAACACAAGTGAGCACACAAATGTGCCAGCTCCCACTCACCAGTTCACTTCCCACATGCCCACACAGGCAGGGCTGGTTGGGCAGAAGCCAAGAGCTGGGAATTGCCGCATGGTATCACTCACGCATGGCTGTGGCCTTCCAGCGCCATCACTGCTGCCTCCCGGGGTCTGCACTGGTGGGGATCTAGACCCAGCTTCTGGACTCAGGTCCTCTGATACACAGGTGTCCTACTAGCATTGTAACCACTAACCTCCACACAAGCCCCCAAAGGCTGCTTGCCTGTATTTACCTATTGAAAACTTTTCTTGGGGGGAGCAGGTAGGGGGCAAAGGATTATATTAGGATGTTTTTCAAACTTCCTAAAGCGCAGGAAAATACCAAAATGAAGCGAAGCTTCCCTCCCGCGGCCCTTCTCCCCTGGAGGAAGTCAGCCTCCAGAGATGGACAGTACTTCTGAGAGCAAGTTGCCACATACATCTTTTCTCACCAAGTGCACCTTGGCAGGCAGTCTGTGTGGGTGTATAGAGCACAGCCTCATTTGTTCCAACAGCTGCACAGTGTGGTTCTGGTAGACATTTTGTCTCGGTAACCAGTCTCTCTAGACAGGTGTGTGGGTTGTTCTAGTCTTTGGCTACTTGGAGCTGCAGTGGTGGTGCAGTGGGTTGGGCTGCTAGTTATGATTTTAGAATTCCTACTAGAGTGCTTGTGTGAGTCCTGGCTGCTCTATTTCCAGTTCAGCTGCCTGGAAAAGCAGCAGAGGATGGCAAGTGCCTGGGCCCCTGCCACCCATGTGAGGGAATGAACCAGTGGATGGAAGATATCTTCCTCTTCTGTCACTCTAAAAAAACCAAAAAGCCTCTGAAAGCCTACGGCTGCTCCACCTATGTAGGATTCTAGCACATGTGAGGCAGCTAAGGGCTAGGCAGATCTGGGAGGCAGGGTAAGCCTGGTGGTTAAGGCGCCGGTGAGGCTGTCTGTGTTCCATGCTGGGATATCTGGGCTGGAGGTCAGTCTCTGCCTCCTACGTCAGCTTCCTCCTAATGCAATGCGGAGGCTGGGAGGCAGCAGGTGATGGCTCAAGTCATTGCGATCCTGCCACCCATGTGGGAGACCTGCATTGAATTCTTGCTCTTGGCCTTGGCTCAAGTCAGCCCTGGCCACTGCAGGTATTTATGGAGTAAACTAGGGGATGGGAGCTTTCTCTCTTGCTGCCTTTCAAATATATATACATATATAAATATAAACATGTACACATACATGAGTATATATATACACATATATACAGATGTATACATTTGTGTGTGTATATATATATATATTTTAACATCTGGAATTGGTGAATCAAGCACACAGCTTTTACAATTCTGAGAGAGAACATTGCCCAATACAAAAATCTGAACAGCAATGTGCAAATATATTCCTGCCACATACACACACACACACACCACCACCATCTTGTGGTTCTTGTGTAAGGAACAACATAAGTCTAGCTTAGCTAGATTCCTGTAAAAACGCTGCCTGTAAGCTGTATAGGCTTTTACTTTTGGCGGGGGGGAAAAGTATCCAAATACCAAAATTCTGCCTGTGTGAGGCTATGTTTTCCTGGAGCCAGCCAGGACCTGACCTGGGTGTGGCATAAGAAAATGTGAGTAGCTCAAGCCTCGAAAGTTGTTTTGCTTCCTGACAGGGAGAAAGAGTGCCGAGCAAGGCCTGGAGGTGTCCAGGCTGCCGACGTTCTCGCTGCGGGAGAAGAGCTACGTGAGGGGCACCGCGGACTTCCTGGGCTTGGGTCATTTCACGACTCGGTATGTCACAGAGAGGAACTTCATTGCCCGCCAGGGACCCAGCTACCAGAATGACCGGGACTTGGTGGAACTTGCCGACCCGGACTGGCCCGACCTGGGGCCCCAGTGGCTCAGTTCTGTGGCCTGGGGATTCCGGAGGCTCCTCAACTTTGCTCAGGTGATTATTCGCAGCAAGGTCAAAGACATGCATCTGACTCTCCCCAGGCTCATGGCTTAAGCTTGGATGCCTGCCTCTGAAAGCAGAACAGAACATCAAACAGAGCATAACTTCACAGGCTTCAGGGAACAAGGCCTTCCAGATGAACCACTTCTATGTATGTGCTTAAGCTACTTAAAAAATAATTATTTTTACAGGGAGAGTGAAAGAGTATTTTCAGTCTGCTGGTTCACTCTGTAATTGGCTGAAGCTGCTAGGACAGGGCCAGGCACCCAAGCCGCTGGGCCATCATCTGCAGCCCTCCCAGGTGCTTTAGCAGGGTGGAAAGCAGAGCAGCTGGGACTCCCAGTGGTGCTCCCAGATGGGATGCTAGCGTGTTACAGGTACAGCCTAACCTACCTCAACACATGCAAGCCCCTTTAACTGTCTGTCTCCCAAGATGGGACAAACAGGAAGGAACAAGGCTTTAAGATCTCCCCCTCACCCCAGCCCTGCTGAGAAACAGGCTCTCTGTGGGGCTAGGCCTCCTGGTCACTCATCCCTGGGTAAACGTGGTAACCGACAGGCACTGAGTGCCCAAGCACATGGGTTGGTGGCGGCACGCTGAGGATGTTTCTGCATGAGCCTACACCCCGCCCGGCCGAAGTCAGTGCTGCAAGGTGCCTCCCGTGTTGACTCCCTTTCAGACGCAGTATGGCGACCCTCCCATATACGTGACAGAAAATGGAGCCTACCAGAGAGCACGGTGCACTCAGTTATGCGATGAATGGCGAATCCACTACCTCAAGGGATACATAAATGAGATGCTGAAAGGTGAGAGAAAGGACCAAATAGGTCCAAGGACCAAATACACCGATTCCTCAACTGACCTCACACAAATCCATCACACAACGGTCAGTTCAAAGTTGAAGTCTCTTAAGATGTTTTTCTAAGTGACATGCTAAAACAGAATAAAATGTCATTTCAGCTATAAAAGATGGTGCTAACATAAAAGGATATACTTCCTGGTCTCTCTTGGATAAATTTGAATGGGAGAAAGGCTACTCAGACAGATACGGATTATACCATGTCAAGTTCATTGACAGAAATAAGCCTCGCTATCCAAAGGCTTCCATGCGATACTACAAGAAGATCATCGCTGCCAACGGCTTCCCCAGTCCGAGACACGTAAGGCTACCTGCTGCCACCCCATGTGTGGGATCTGCAAACTTTCCTATCAGCTTTCTATCTGGCCACACCTACTGGCAGGGAATATAAATTTATAATTCTGAGTGTTTTCCTAAAAGCCATTTTTAAATCTTGTTTATCAGAATTTTTATAAGGTGAGCGCAGGGGGACTAACGATGCAAGGTATCAGCCCTCAGAGAGCCACATTACTAGACAAGCATTAGACTGACACACTGCTCTGAGATGTACCCTACTCTTCAATTTGCACACATGGGGATGCACAGTCCCATTTGAAGTACAGGTGGACTGTTAAGGCATTTACTCGTATCCCACACTTCGTTGAACAGTCTCACGAAAGACATTACTTATCTGCTGGCCTTTCATCAGGTGGCCCGCTGGCACCGCGAGGCCCTGGAGATGTGCTCCATCAACAACCAGATGCTCGCTGCAGGTGAGTGTGCATGACGCCTCACACCACACACGGCGTTACCAGAACGCCGACACGCAGACCAGTGTCAATCTTCAGAAACCCACTGATGCCTGAAACAGGTTTTTTTTCCTTTGTTTTGAAGCAATTCAAATTCATATTTATACACATTTCAGATATAAAAATCTAGCACGAGAGAAATACTTTCTCCACTCTGGTTTTGTTCCTTTGGAATCATACTGTATATTTATGCAACTGCAATTCTTGTTACAGTGGAAGGAAAATGTCAAGCCTCACACCAAGTGATAAAAAGTCAAACATTCCAGAACTTAGATTTGCTCACTAAGCAAGTACTTTCACTAAGCACTCACTATGAATTGGAGGGTATTTTAAGCCCTGGAGATACAATGACAGACAAGGGCCTGCTCTTCCAGAAGCACTTGTTCCCATGCAGATAGTGAGCAACCAGGACGCAACTATGCACAAGAAACGCCAACACACATCCTTCATTCCTTTCAATTTTTTTTTTATTGCCCCATAAGGGCAATAAGAAACACACCTCGTGGTTAACAAAGTATCTTCAATGCAGTAGCTGAAGGGGAAAGTGCTGGACCAATTCTGTCATTTTTACTGGCCAGTATACCACTACGCACCACCTCCAAACATAAACCACCAGACAGTGTTAAACTGACATTCAGTTAGAACTTAGCAATGTGATGCAGAATTTACCCATGCGCTTGTGACCTGCGCCGGGCACACGACCTACAGCAAAGGATTACATAAATGTTTACCATTCTGTCACTAGACTTGAAGAAAACTTATGCTTTAACTCCTACAAGATTATTGATGAACTGTCAACACAGACATTCCCCAACATCTCTGAAAAGCTAGGAAAATCTCTTGAAAATTTTCCTTCACAAACCTCTCCAGTAAAAACGAGAGGAGCCGTGAAATCTGCCGCCAATAGTCTGAGATGAATTGGTTCTAAGGAAGGCCTTGCTGTGCACCCACTTTACCCCACCGCATTCTCTGAAACATTTTACAAAGCGTTCAGATGGCTAATTGCAGCTGGCCAGGTTCTCCTGCACAGTACATGAGAAGAATTAGAAATGTGATCGAGCCATCCTCCAGTCAGCTCAATGGACTGGCGGAGGCTCTGTTGGCTCAGACGGCATTCAAATGAGAGGTGGGTGCTGTCTGGCCTTTCAGAGCCCCTGCTGAGCTACATGCAGATGGTGACGGAGATCGTGGTGCCCACAGTCTGCACGCTGTGTGTGCTCATCGCTGCCGTACTGCTGCTGCTGCTGCTGGGGAGGCGGCACTGAGACAGGCTGCGACCGTGACAGAGGAACCGGCCGCCATCCGCTGTGGGGTTCATGTGCATGTCAGGCTCGTTGATTTATTTCCTCCCCCTCCCCCTCTTCTGTTTTGTGCTGGGACCTATGACTTGGAAAATTTAAGCAGAAATAAAAATAAAAATCATTTATAATCTCACCTACCCCAAGTCAGCATATTTTGCGATTATGCACACCATTTCATTTTATACAAGTGAGACCACTGTATACAAACTGTTTTGTAAGTTGATTTTTAAAACATTTTTTGAATGTATTAAAAAATAAGACTTTAATATTCCACTGACTGACACTTCAGCACTGTCCTGCACATGATGGGAAAAGATCGACTGTCCCTTCAGTGGTAAATCTACTAACCGGCCAGGAGAAAAGCATGCGATCCCAAGCAAATAAACACATACCCTTGTCTGAAACAAACATTTTACATTAATTTCAATTCACTTTATTCAATGAAACACAGTACCTTGATGATTACATCTCAGCTATGTTAAAATGCTTAAATCAACTAATCTCCATGTATTTGTAGATAAAATCACTTAAGAATAATGTCAGTTTATTCACTATTTCCCATATGGGATCCCAGTGTGTGCAAGGTGAGGACTTTAGCTACTAGGCTACCTCGCCCGGGACCTCAAATCATTTTAGAAAGCAGGTTTTGATCAGGGGCTTCATCTTAAGAGTTGGGCTGAGGCTTGACACGATGGCTCAGTTGATTAATCCTTGCCTTGTAAAGTGCTGGGATCCTTTATGGACACCGGTTCCTGTCCCGGATATTCCACTTCCCATCCAGCTCCCTGCTTGTGGCCTAGGAAAGCAGAGAATGGCCCAAAGCCTTGGGATCCTGCACCTGCATGGAAGCTCCTAGTTCCTGGTTTCGGATTGGCCCAGCTCTGCCCAATGCTGCCATTTAGGGAGTGAACCAGGGAATAGAAGATCTTTCTGTCTCTCCTCTCTATAAATCTGATCTGTATGCCTTGCCAATAAAAATATATAAATCTTTTTTTAAAAAAAAAAAAAAGCAAGCTGGGTTGGTGTGAAACCACTTTTAGCAAAATTTTGCTTTCAATATCAAACTGATGTGTTGGTCAGGAGTCTGCTGTTGCTACTATAGACAGGAGAGCACTTCAGTAAATCAGGGAAAATGGAATGAAAAGACGTTTATTTTGGTGCTGTTTCTTTTTCTTCTTTTTTTTTTAATCCATATGTATTTTGGGGTGAAGTTTTAGAGCAATTTTACATAGATCACATGACACACTGGGAGGATGCAGACATCTGATCCTGCCTACCAACCTGTTGCCTTCTCTGCCTCTCAGATAAAAAATTAAAACATGCAATGTTATTCATTTCCCTGCTTTCCAGGATTTAACTGGCCAAAGAAAGCTAACTGTTCAGTAACATCTGGTAAGCCTTTGATGTAATTATTGACGATCAAATTTCTAATCAAGTGTAAAAATCATGGAACCATAAGATTTGTAATCCATCTCAGTGCATTTAGAGAATAGAAAGCAAATGTGAATACCTTGGAAGAGCCCTCAGCACACTTTACTTGAAATGCACTTGGCTACAGGTCACCAGGCTGGTGAAGGGCACCCTCTCCTCCAGGCTGCAGTTCAGGGTGAGCTCAGAGAAGTCTGTGAGCAGAGAGAGAGTCTGGTGAGGACTGTTGCTGCCGGCTGCAGGTGCCTGGCAGTGTGGGATGCTGCCCCAGGCAATACATGGCACATGTCCTCCAGGGAGGGTCTAGGAGACTGAAATCAGGCAGCACAATTCATTCCACCAGGACAGAGTCTTGATGCATTTAAAGCACGATTAAATATTCTAAAACCTAAGGCATATATATATCTTTTTGCAGTTACCTATGTTTTATGTAAGACCTCACTGTTTTGTTTTTCCGTGCCACATCAACTAGGGTTAAACAATCTTAACATATCACAATTTGTGTTTTAAGAAAAACATTCTACTTAGGAGTTATAGTCTTAAAGCTAAATGAATCCATTTGTCTCTCCTAAAGATAGACTGTGCGATTTCAAAAATAAGTGGCCCAATTAGCATCTAGATGGGATTAGGCCCATCCTTCTAGGCCTACATTTTGGCTTCCATATTTTCTCCATTTCCAGGGACCCCGTGGGGGGCAGCCCTCTCCTGGACACTGTTTTTCTCCCCCATTAAGCCCAAGTCACCATTCTTTCTCTCCATGGCAGCTCAAAGTGCGCTCTTCCTCTTGGTCTCCCTGCTTTTGGTCTCAGCGGTTTCTCCCAAGAGCACTATAGCATGGCCAGCAGGACAGGCTGGGCCTCAGCCTCAGGGGTCAGTCAGTGCAATGACATCAGCTGTCCAACTTCTTACGTGCACGTGATCTCTGACAAAACCCAAACCGTCACCGGGCTTGAATTTTCACAACTGGGACTTCGCTTGGAGAGCCCATGTCTCACAGATGAGGTTTCCCTTCAAGAGTGGGGCTCTGCGTCAGAAGTCACTGAACAACCACATCAAGAATATATAATGGGTAGAAGAGCTTACAAAGCTCAAGCTAAAACGGACTCTGAGTACATTTCCACGCATTCTAAGGCATGGTTTTGAAGGAAGAGGCAAAACTGGACCCATGCATTAGCAAACTGAAATAATTTTCACATGCAAACAGATTTCCGTTCCTTCTGAAGCAACTTGGGAGACTCTAAAAGATAAAATCAGTGCACTTTTCTAAGCTGGTATCATTGAAAACATCTGTATTTCTCATCATTATTATAAATAGGGGCTGAGCACCTTGTAGTTTTAAGATTACACTGGAATTTCCTTTTTGGAGCAGCTCATGTCACCTGCCCATTTTTTCCTGAGTGATGAACATTTCTATTGGTAACATGTGTATTCGTTGTTGGAATCTGCTGCTCTGACCCGAGATGCGCCTCTCCTTTCCTGGCCCGTCACCTAGCTGACTTTTTACGTCTCGCATTTTTTTAAATTTTTTTTTTTCTGTACAGAAGCCTGTTCGTGCAGTTGAGTTTCAATCTCTTAGGCTCCAGGTTTGGTACCACACGTGGAGACTTGGCATGACTTCAGTTGGTGAGCAGCAAGGCACCGGTCTCTGTCTCTCTAGGACTTGGGTGGTTTCCTATCTGAGCAGAGCCTCTATCTGAAACAAGTTTCTATGATATCTGAATCAAAGCACACAGGTCTGGAGAATAACTTGCAAAGCATCAATCAATAACATACAACAATGTATTCCCAGAAATCTTAGATTCCGTCTGAAACCAGTCTGTAGTCAGACAACCCTTGCAAAATTTGAATGTGGCTATTTAAAACCTACGTGAACAAGAGAAAGCAGAACACATGAAACTCCCATGCCTGGAGATGGGAGCTTTTACAGGGTCTACGGAAGGAGGAAGCCTTGGTAGTTAGCTCATTTCACAAGACTCAAAGACGGTGCCCGGCGCAGTAACCTAGCAGCTAAAATCCTCACTTTGTACACGCCAGGATCCCATATGGGTGCCTGTTTGTGTCCTGGCAGCCCTCCTTCCCATCAGCTCCCTGCTTGTGGCCTGGGAAAGCAGTCAAGAACAACCCAAAGGCCTTGGGACCCTGTGGGAGACCTGGAAGAAGCTTCTGGATCCTGGCTTCGGATCGGCACAGCACCAGCCATTGTAGTCACTTGGGGAGTGAATCAATGGACAGAAGATCTTCCTCTCTGTCTCTCCTCCTCTTTGTATATCTGACTTTCCAATAAACATAAATAAATCTTTTTTTAAAAAATAAATAAATAGAAGAAAGGGTGTAAATTCCATTCCATTATAGCCAGTCCTAGTGACATCATCCTTCAAAAAAAGACGCAAAGACATTCAAGGATGAACATGGATCAGTCTGGCAAAGTACCCACGTAGGTGTAGGGACCCAAGGCCTTGGACTCGAACTGGCACCCATATGGGAAGCTGGCACTGTATGCAGGGGCTAAACCTATTACATCATGGCACCGGTCCCCAGGTTTTTTTTTTTTTTTAAATAAAAAAAAACCTCTCTATCCAAGTTAATAAGAAAAAGTATGATTATTATGCAATGGGTGTCTCTGGTACACTTACATGTAAGATCTATGATTGGGTGGAGAGGCTACATGTGGTGTAGCAGATAAAGGCATCACTTGTGATACCAGCATTTAATGAGTGCTGGTTTAGGTCCCAGGTCTGCTCCATTTTCGATCCAGCTCCCTGTTAATGTGCCCTGGAAAAGCAGAAGATGACCCAGTGCTTGGGTTCTGTAACCACATGAGGCCTGGATATAGCTCCTGGTAGGCCAGGCCCAGCTCTGACCATTGTGGCCTTTGGGGAGGATCAGTAAGATCAATCTTTATTTCTCCATCACTCTTTAACTCTGCCTTTCAAATAAATAAAATTTTTTGAATTAAAAAATTGTTTTTTAAAGAATAAATATGCTTTACACCTAGAACTTAGGCAAACTAAAACTAGTCCCCAAGGATATGATAATAGCACCTTTATGGAATAATATATCTGAATAGGTTAAGAACTATTTACCGGGTTTGTGAAAACTCAGATGCTCTACAGGTGAGCTGTCACTCAGCTGCCAGACCGTCCTAACCTTCTTCTGGCCACTGTTGATTTCCACTCTCCACTTCTGTGGCTTCTCACTAAGGAGAGAAAAAAACAGCGATGTCCTTCCTTCTGCAGTCACTGAGTGATGTCATCTGTACAGCACTGAGGCCGGAGTCACGGCACAGGTCACAGGTAGGAGTGCGGGTGTCAGGGTGCGGCTGTCTGAGCCGTTGGGGTGCTGGGCTGAGAAACGTGCATCTCACACCTCCGTGAGATCCCCCGCTCTGCTCCTGCTCCAGCTTCCTGCTAAGGCACACCCTGAGAGACAGGGCACTCCAGCACCCACACAGGAGACCTGGATGGAGTTCCTGGTTCCCAGCTCTGGCCCCTGGCACATGCTGCTGCTGTGGGCACTCGGGGGAGTAAATCTTTGAAGTGATATCTCTGCCTCCCAAATTAAAAAAAAAAAAAAAAGAGAGAGAGTGTGAATACCAACTTTTAAGAAAACAGGAATTGAGCCTGGCCAGATGGCTCCATGGCTAAATCCTCACCTTGCAAGCCCCAGGAATCCATTTGAGCACAGGTTCATATCCTGCCTGCTCCACTCCCCATCCAGCTTGTGGCCTGGGAAAGCAGTAAAGGATGATCTAAAGTCTTGGGACCTTGCATCTGTGTGGGAGATCCAAAAGAAACTCCTGGCTTCTAGGTTTGGACTGGCTCACTCTAGCTGTTGCAACTATTCATGGAATGAACCAGTGGATAGAAGATCTTTTTCTCTCTTCTCTGTATATCTGCCTAATAGAAATAAGTAAAAAAAAAAAAAAAAAAAAGCAGTAATTGAGAAACACCAGATGTGTCGCAGGACTTGAACCCAGACTGGGGTTGGCAGAAATGAAGAATCTTCAGGGGCTGTGGCATCTGAGTGTGGATGACAGGGAAGCAGGTGGCAGAGTGACCTGTGCAGGCAGACTGAGGCAGCAAGGGTGAGGCCTGAGGAAACACAGTGATACAACAGCCACAGCTTACCAGGGGAGCAGAGCCAGCACAGGTGTCTTCATAGACCATCCCCACCGGAGCCAAGCTGAACAGGTGCCAGGCAGCCACTGCAGCAGCAGAAGTGGACAGCCCAAGGAAGAAGCTCCTGGCCTTAGATCAGTTCCACTTGAGCCGCTGTAGCCACTTGGGGAGTGTGCCAGCGAATGGATAACTTTCTCTACCTCTCCTTCTTTCTGTAAATCTGATTCTCAAATAAGAATAAATAAATCTCAAAAAAAAATAAGATGAAGAAAAAGTGCTAGGAAGATGATGAAGGGCTCATTTTTAAAAATATCTTTTAAATGGACAAAACTGTACAAATTGTTTATAAAATGATTTGGAATATATGTGTACAAAATATCCACACTGGACTGGTTAACGTAGGCATCATGTCACACAGTTCACACTTTTTGTGTGAAATGAGTGACAGCTCACCTTCACATGCACTCTTAGCATTTTCAGGGAAACAAAATCTATTGGCACATTTCTACCCTCTGACAGAGCTGGCTGGTTTCAGAGAGGACACCCTGCATAGGACTCGGATGGTGAGACGCCTCCCGCCCCACTAAGGGACATTAGTGGTGTCCGGGACCAGCGGGAGGTCCAGTGCACAAACTGTCACAAGCCCAGAGGACAAGTGAACCAAGAGCAAGGACCGTCACCCAGGGAAGCAAGAAAGAAGAAAAAGAGGGCTGAGGGTGGCCTTCTGGAAGCAAGTAAAGAAGGACCTAAAGGGAACTATTCTGGAGGTGGGGCAAGGAGACCAAGTTCAAATGCAGACAGGAGCTCTGTCCCAGGGACTACAGCAGGAGATAGGCTCAGAGGAGCAGCAGTGTCGAGTGCCAACCAGCCCTATGGGGTTGCAAAGCTATACCAAAGCAGACGGAATTGGGGGCCAGCTCATCACCCATTGGACTGAGAACATTCTGCTTCTGAAAAGCATCCTCTGAACTCAGACTGTGGGGGTCCAGCCATGACCGGGCCTCAGTGACTTCAGGACAACTGCTGGATTGATGAGGACGGAACCAACCAGAGGCAGGACCCCCGACGGACGTAAGGCCATCCTAGGCCAAGGGAGGACTCAGCGGAGACCATTACTGAGAGCACCACAGAGGCCATTCAGTGTCCCTGCGGATGACCGACCCATCCTCTCAGCCCTGTGGATCCCTGCCTCCTCTCCCAAAATGCCAAGCCATGGCCAGCCTCCCGGGGTTGTGCTCCCTGCTCTACCCTGTAAAGGGATTCCTGATGCAGAGAATGCTGGCCTGACAGGCCATTGAGGCCAGAGGGTATGCACTGACGGCGGTGACACAGCTCGGGGTCATGGAGTCCCCAAGGCCCAGGAACACTGAAGCTGCTGACGTGACAAGGGAGAGCCTTAAGGCCGGCAGTGCATAATGGACTTGCTCACCTTTGGTATAAGTTTTTCACGGCAGCTGCCCTGACTGGTAGCTGAAAAACGTGCTGTTCATCAAGAGGATTTTGTTTATAGTATTTTATGCAGGATCTAAAGACAAAACAAAAAACAAAATCACACCTGTTTTGACAAAGGAGCCACATGCAGATAAAGCAGTCAGGTGGGCTGAAGCTCAGAAGTGCCCCCACACCTCACTGGTGAGCACCAGCACAGCCCCAGCACCAAGAATTCCCCAGCCACACATGTAAACCTCAAAACATCCCCATAAACAAGACCTGACACCAGGATTTCACTTGTTTGTGAGCTATTAATGGCAGACACACTTCCCATAAATATAAAACATACTTAAGATAAGCCCAAAGAAAGGTTCTCAGAAAGACAAAATGCAGAGGTTAGAGAAAAGTCTCGGCCTCCATGTTTTTTAAGAGCCTGGCCAATTGAACAGCTGACTCGTACACACTATGCTACTGAACTTTAATAGAAAAATAAAAGCTCTTCCAGGTTGCTTAAAAAAAATAAGGTAACATTATTTGTAGTCATTTATTTGCAGTGTGGAACCTCACACATACACAAAGCACCACAATCCACACATCTGAGATCACTTCAAACTGGACCTTGAGCAAACCACGTGGGGCCGCTAAGGATAGGTCCAGAACAGACAGCAATCCTTTCTGTTCCTCCACGGGTGGAGGCAACCCTGGGCTTCGATCCTAGAAGAACAGGAGTGTAAAGAAGTGCACACAAAGTGCAAAATACCATAGAGACACTCCTGGCTTGATCTTTACAACAAACACATGAGGTTATTAGATTCTTTTCCTAACTGAGGAAATCAGATTTCATGAAAGGGAACTTGCCAAGGCAGCCAGAGAGGAACAGACCCAGGTTTCCAGGCAGATTCCTTCCTGCGACGCTGACCAGAACCAGGCATTCGGGAAGGCAGGGTGAACAGGTGCCACCCTTATTGACACTGAAACTACACACAGCTTGTCTGCAAGTTTTCAGAAGAGAATACATTCCATGTAGTAAATCATAGAGCAATAAACACTTACTGTGTTAGGGAAAAGAGCAGCTCGTGTTGAGGTTTAATGAAAAGCATGCAACCGATGACTATTTCCAGGATATGGTGGAGCTTCTGCACACGATGAACCTGCTCTTGTAACTCTACTGCTGGAGAAATGAAGTATTCCTGAAATGAAAAAAGCAAAAGCAAAACAGGACGTTAAATGAGGTTGTGCTGAAAGAAAACGGTTAGGCCTGCCACACCTGAATCTGGCGGCAGGGGGCGGGGAGGCCAGCGGGAGGCAGCTACTCAGGTTCCCCCTTCCACACTAGCCTTCACCTGGTGAGTACTGTCTTCAGTAAGAATGTTTTAAATAAGCCATTAATCCTACTGCCCCAGTGAACATGAACCACAGAACCTCACAGAGGCGGTAGGCAGTACTTCTCCAGACCCTCCAAATGAAAGTGAATGCACAATTCTCAACATGAACCTTGCTAACTTGATTCCAGTGGCCACTTCCAAAGCCGGAGAGTAAGCCTAAAGTTAGGAAATCAAGAATGTGCAATACAAAGTTCCACTCTGGTGTACTGCTTTAAGTTGGTGCAGCCTGAGGAAAACAAACTTTTCCTCTATGGTGAAGGGATGGGGTGCTTGGCCAACTTTTTTTTTTTTTTTAAAGATTTATTTAGTTTTTATTGGAAAGGTAGATTTAAAGAGAGAAAGAGCTAAGCTGGTTCACATCCCAAGTGGCCATGACGGCAACAGCTGAGTTCATCTGAAGCCAGGAGCTTCTTCTGGGTCTCCCACGTGGACGTAGGGTCCTAAGGCTTTGGGTCATCATCCTCTACTGCTTTTCCAGGCCACAAGCAGAGAGCTAGAAGGAAAATGGAGCAGCCAGGACACAAACTAGCACCCAAACAGGATCGTGGCACAAGCAAGGCAGGGAGGCTTCGAACCCCATTTCTGAGAATGCAGCCCTAGCAAGAAGCTACCACGGTACACATGCAAGGCCAGTTCTCCAATGACTCCACAACTCCTGCTCCCTAGAGTTCACACCCCACAGAATCCCTCCTGAAGTGTGGCCAGAAACTACAAACATGACTACTGAAGGAAGCTACTGCAGGAGGATCAGCAAGGACTACCACCTGGTCATTTCGGACTCATTCGTGAGTCTGTTAAAAGATGTGAAGGTTAGAGATGCCCTTGTCAGCCCCAAGCAATGAACCTCCAGCTGTGGAGAAGGCCGCGGGCCACGGACCAAGTAGCACCTCGGGTCCTGAACCAACAGCTTCTAATAAGACAGAGACCTCGGTGCCAGGGACAGTTTTTAATGGGTGTGAGAGTGTGGACGTGGATCTTTCTCTCATCATTCCTCCAGATGAATCTATAGCTAAGCTGATTCCTTGCTTTCCGTCTTGTGAAATGCACAGCACAGGAGCCAGAAAGAAAGGGCCCCATTCCAGGACCCGGAAAGTCAGACATAACATCTGTGTATTTCTGACTAAAAGTTGCTGAAGCTTCCACATCTCTGAGCTCCTGTTAGTCTGTTATGTAGAAACAAAAATCATACGCAGTAAGGAAAAATGAACCGGACTCACGGCAGGGCAGGGGACAGACCATTCTAAGTCACAGCTTACAAGATGCTAGGCAAAAATGAGATGAAAGCTAAATGTAATGGAAACTCATTTATAATTGAATCTAAAACAGGGATCTATCTCACAAAGGTTATTCTGAAATGTGAACATAGCACAGATAGCAAAATAGGCCTCGTGCCAGTCACAAGGCACCTCAACTCTGGCCACAGCTGCCATGGCTCACCCAGTTATGTGCCTGGCTTTCTACCTATTTCCGGTGGTCTGTAGGTTAGCTCTGAAGGAGCACTCCAGGTCTTCTTTTAAGGGAGCAGCACACCCAGACTGCTTTTCCCCTCTGAGCCTTCTCCGTGCATGCTGCAGCTCCCCTGTCTGCCCCCACAGCAGGTGACAGAGCTTGAGACCACTGATGACTTGGGGCCAGAGGACCTAGGGACAACAGATGTCAAGGCCTGCAGAAAAATGGCTTCCCTCCCAGTTGCTGTTTACAGAAGAGAATTACAGTTACAAATAAAACGAAGATTGTTCTTTAGTAGACCTTAAAATAGCTAAGATCTCCTGTATTCTGCCTGGGAGCCCAAGCAAATCACTTAAGCTCTTTAAAGTGGAAGAAGAGGCAGAGAGTGCCTGGGTGATGCACTGTGAGAACAGGGCCAAGAAAAGGGGTGGCCTCTGGATGTTAACAACAGCCCTGAGTTTATAGCCAGCAGGAAAGCAAAGCTTCAGCCCCCCAACTAAGAAAACGGACTTCTGCCAATTACTCGGAGGGGCAGGAAATGGATTCCACTCAAGAGCCTGGGGTCCAGCACGGTAGCCTAGTGGCTAAAGTCCTTGCCTTGCACATGCTGGGATCCCATATGGGCACCAATTCTAATATCAGTGGCCCCGATTGCCATCCAGCTCACTGCTTGTGGCGTGGGAAAGCAGTTGAGGACAGCCCAAAGCCTTGGGAGCCTGCACCCGATATGGGAGACCCGGAAGAGGCTCCTGGCTTTGGATTGGCTCAGCTCTGGCCATTGCAGCCATTTGGGGAGTAGTAAATCAGTGGATGGAAGATCTTTCTGTCTCTCATCCTCTCTGTATATTTGACTTTACAGTAAAAATAAATACATCTAAAAAAAAAAAGAAAAGACACCCTGGTTTTAGCCTGGCAAGTCTCCCCAGCAGACTTGGGAACCATGGAACTGTGAAGTAATAACCTTGTGATATTATTATTATAGAGCTGTTTACAAACTCAGAATACACAAAATATATGAAAGCTCACTGAGCGTGTGGCAGCTCATTACAGAAGACTTGTACACCTGCGTGCCATCTGCATCAGGAGCACTTAGAGAAGCTTCTGGAAAGGGACATGTTCCTGAACCCCGCATCCATGGAGCCGGCCCGGTCACCAGCATCTGGACAAGCCCTCTAGCAATCAAAGTTCAAGAACTATTGTGATAGAAGCTTAATTTTGGAATCAAGCCATATTTTGAAAAATAATAGGAACAAGAAAGGAAGCGGGGTATTTACAAACCCAAGATAATCATAATACTGGAGCGATAGGATTATGGATATATTTTTCCTATATTCTATTTCAAAATTGGAAGCAGGGCCACTGGGATTAGAACCGGTATCCATATGGGATCCTGGAGCATGCAAGGCATGGACTTAAGCCACTAGGTTATCGTGCTGGGCCCTCAAATAAATAAAATTTTAAAAACATGTATTTATATTTATTTGAAATGCAGATTTACAGAGAGGAGCCAGAGAAGAGATCAATCTTCCATCTGCTGGTCCACTCCCCAAATGGCTGACATGGCCGGAGCAGGGCTGGTCTGAAGCCAGAAGCTTCTTCTGGGGCTCCCACCTGGATCCATCTTTTGCTGCTTTCCTAGGTGCACTGCAGGGAGATGGATTGAAAGTGCCAAAGTGCCAGCACTGCAAGCAGAGGCTAACCTACCATACCATGGCAGTGGGCCCTCAAATTAACGTTTATAAACAAAACTAAACACCACCTGACTGTAACTTTTTGCTAATGCAGATGCTGGGAGGATACAGGTGGCGCCTGGTGATCACTGGGCCCCTCTCACCATGTGGCAGACCTGGTGCCCAGCTTCGGAATTGCAGGCACTTCCGGGTGCCCAGCTTTGGAACTGCAGGCATTTAGGAGAATAAATAGCACGTGGGAGTGCTCTCTCTCTCTGCCTCTCAAGTAAATAAACAATAAACAAACACATAACATCCATAAATCACTCTTGTCTAGGCTCTTCATTCTGATACATTTATATGTGTACATATAACTGCTAGAGCAGTAAGAGCATGTTTCTACTGAAAATATGTACCTTAAACAAAATGTTTAACACTAAAGTAGTAAAAATTGAGTTTCAAAAGAAGCCAACTGCCTCTTATTTTGCACAATACACATAGCTAGCTTTTCTATCTCATTTTCACAAAGGAAAAACAACAAAAAAAGTTAATACTACAAATTCATTCATGAAAGGATCTATCAATGAACAGCAAGGCTTATTATAGACACACTTCCATCTCCCAAAGTCTTCTAAATCAACAAAATACAAAATCTCATAACAATGACCCTGAAATCCAGAAGGATCTTTGCAACCACTCTGTCAAAGAACATCGTAAGGGACCAGTATCATACTACAGCAGGTGAAGTCGTCGCCTGTGACACTGGCATGCCACATGGGAGCCAGTTTGTGTGCTGGCTGCTCCAGGTCCCTGCGTAAAAGGCCTGGGAAAAGCAGCAGCCGATGGCCTGAGTGTTTCAGGTCCTGCCACCCACAGGAGAGGCCTGGATGAAGCTCTTGGCTTTGGCCTGGCCCACTCTTGGCCACTGTGGCCGCCTGGGGAGTGAACAAGCAGATGGAAGATCCTGCTCCCTCTCTGTAACTGACATTCAAATAAATAAATGCAATTGGAAAGACCAGATCACTTTTTTTTTAAATAATCTTTTAAATGTATGGTTCAAGAGACTATACAACAAGCATTTCTTTACAGAGCCTGAACAGAATTCCCTGAGCATTCCAGATCTGTGAGCATCACAGGAGCCCGCTGGCTACAGAAGATTACAGCCACGTATCATTCCCACACATTTAGAGAAGGAGAAACGACACCCAATCAGCCATTTTATTTTCAGTCTGTCTTTCTCGGCAGAAACAATTATGGGCACTGATTCTCACAGGACAGGGCATTAGACAAGTGTGCACAAAATGACTAATCAAAGGAAAACCAATTTGTGTATGAGAAATAAACTCACCAAATGATTCAAAGATGCAAGTTCTTGACCTATGAAGAAAAAAAAACACATAACACATATGTACAAACAAGGTTTAAGAACTGCCTGCTACATATTAAGGAAAAAAAAATTCATAACCTACTTACCAGAGCTGGTCAAGCCAAACAGGTACTCAGAAAAGTCCAGATTTTCTCACATATAGCACCATAAAAAAAATGCCAGTATTTATTCTAAAACTGATCAGATTTTGACTTAATGAGAGGAATCCAATGTTGTGTATTAAAACAGTATTTTATAGAAGGGCTTTTTATTTGTAACACTAAACTCATAGAATCTGAAATGTCTGAGTTAAAAACAAATACACGAAGACTAAAAAGTGTCATCGAATATCTTAACTGAAGGAAAAACCAGAGTCAGTGCAGGGAAATGCTGGCCTCACAGGCACCCAGAGCAACGCTAGACCACAGACGACCAGAGGCAAATGCAAAGACAAAATTTGAGAATACCTATGCATAATAACCAGGACGTGCATTTTCATTTTTTCAGCTGGGAAGGGGACTTACCAATGAAAAAACTGATATAATCTTTCTTGAGTTTGTCCAGACCGATCTCCAAAAGCATCTGAAGTGGAACAGTCCCCGTGAGAGAGACCGTGTCCATAGCTCCATGGTAAGACTGGTGGATGAGCTTGCTCAGCAAGCTGTTACTGCCACTGTGGAGCTGGGGACCAAGAGCACTTTATAAACCACAGGAAATCCAACAGGCAAAAGACAAGCAAAGGACCCGGGCTACACTGTAACTTGACACTCCTGGCCTCCTGACACTACAAACTACAAACCCAACATACAAGCAGGTCAGCATTTAAAAATACCTCGGGGTTTTGTTTTTAAGTTAAGTCAAGGAGACTTTAAACCTGTCCCCGCTGGGTACAATTCCACAAGAGAAGCCACAGCCGGTCCCTACAGGTTTGAATGCAAGGAATGCTTGTCTCTGGGCTGACTTAGAAAGTGCCAGGCAGCATCGTTATCCACAAGGAAAACACTCTCTCCCTGCTGGTGTCCAAGGAGCTCCTCACTGGCTACAAGAACCAACATACTAATCGGACAATTTGCAAATTAATAAGAGCTGGGAACTAGAGATTTAACGCTGGTGAACTGTTTGTTTGTTTTAATTGGAAAGGCAGTTACAGAAAGAAGAGATAGAAAGATTTCCCATCCACTGGTTCACTACCCAAGTGACAATAGCCAGAGCTGAGCCAATCCGAAGCCAGTAGCTTCTTCTGGGTCTCCCATTGAGTGCAGAGTCCCAAAGCTTTGCACCATCCTCCACTGTCTTCCAGGCCACAAGCAGGGAGCTGGATGTGAAGTGAGGCAGCCAGGACATGAACCAGTGCCAATATAGGATGCTGGCATTTTGCAAGGCAAAGATTTAGCCATTGAGCCATTCAAGCAGGTCCAACACTGCTCTAAATGTTCGTTTCAAACATATATAATCTGTCATTTTCTCATTAGTTTCCATTCTCTCCACTTTAACATTCACCCTCATCATTTGTACTTTGTTTTGCATACTCATATGTGCAGAGTAACACAATACTTGCAAATTTACAAACACAGAAACTCAAGGGACAAAAAGCTCAGTGGTTTCAACTAAAAAGCCCCAGGATCCCATAGCCCCATCAGGCAGAGCCTGCCTGCCTCTGCTTGGACACCTCCCTGTCCACATCAACATGGCCAGCTTTTATGCTCAGCAAGTGGCAGCCATATTATTTGAAATAATTCCTATTAAATGATGAGTCCTTTTGCTTCTACCTTCTTACTTAGCTTTTTCTTGCTTATAAAAGCAGTATAAGGGGCTGGCACCGTGGCGTAGTGAGTTAAGATGCTGCCTATGATGCCAGCATCTGAATGCAGGCTGATGTGCTGGCTGCTCTGTTTCTGACCAGCTCCTGCTTATGTGCCTGGACAAGCAGTGGAAGATAGGGCTAGTGCCCAGGCCCCTGCACACATGTGGGAGACCTGGAGCTCCTGGTTCCCAGCTTTGGCCCAGCCCAGGCTCGGTCACTGTGGTCATTTCAGGAGTCAAGCAGTGGATGGAGTATCTTCCTCCCTCTTTAACTTTGTTTTTCAAATGAATAAATCTAAAAAAGAAAAAAAGCACAAATTGTGCAAAATCATGAAGTACAGAAATACATAATGCCAATGGAAAAAGTCCCTTGGAACACTTCCACTAAGGTAATTACTATTAAGAATTTATTGTACTTGCTTCCAAATTTTTCTTTCCAGAAATTTGCATTGTTTATACAGTTGTGTGTAACTTAATTCTTTTACATTATGCAAATTTCTCAACATTATTTGTTAGCATTTTTAGCTTATATTACCTGTGTCATTACGTGGCTCTAGCAATACTTACACAGCCATTCCTTCAAAAAGAGAAAGGAAGGCCACTCACACATCTTTTGCTACCCTAAATGCAGCTGTGTTAATTCTGACGCATGACACCTTGACACATACTCCTGTGAATGAGCTTAGGGTAGATCCTAATCAAAAAATTCTGGTTCCAAAGGCACAATAAATTGCGGGGATTTCTAGATGGCATAAAAACTGCTTTTTAGGGAGACTGACCCAACCTGTATCCTCATGAGCAGCATAGGAGAAAGCTCCCACATGGCAGCAGGTAACAACCCGAGCAGGCTAAGTGCCCAAGCACACAACCTGGAGTCGAGCACAGGAGAACATGAACAACATTAGTTACTCCTGCGGTCACGCCGTGAGGCAGCTACTGTTCCTACTCTGGCTTTTCTGCCGATCCTAGGACTCACAGCGGGAAAGGAACCCATGCACGTATGCGGCCAGAAGGCAAGCCCTGGCAGCATGCTCCTGTGCCCACCTGCATGTCCTGAACCACTGTGATGCGCTGGGTCACACATAACCTACCCAGGGCTGGACATCGCCACGCTGCAGACTCTGGATGACCAACGTGAAACACTTCACCAGGTCTTGATAAGAGACCACACCTTGAAAAACAAGCCAGTCTAACATGACTTTCACGCCAAATACATCATCCATCTTAAAGTTACACAAACAAAATTGATTAATGCACTGCACTTTACAGATGAAAAGGAAATAATTTAAAGAGGGTTTTAAAAAAATATTTACTATATTTAAAAAATTATTTTATTTGTTAGGAGCCAGTTTTGGGGCATAGTGGGTGAAGCCATGGCCTGTGATGCGAGCACCCCATATGGGCCTTAGTTTGTGTCCCAGCTGCTCTACTTTTGGCCCAGGTCCCTGCTAATGGCCTGGGAAAACCAGTGGAGAATGGCCCAAGTAATTGGTTCCTTGCCACCCACATGGGAGACCCAGACAAGGCTCCTAGCTCTCGCCTGACCCAACCCGTCTACTGCAGCCACCTGGGGAATGAACCACAAGATGCAAGCCACCTCCCTCTCCAGTTCTGACTTTCAAACATACAAATTCTGTTTTATTTGTTTTCAAAGCAGAGACAAAAATCTGCCATTTACTGGTTCACTCAAATATATGTGAAGTCTGACTTTGGTGCTAGAGCAGGCCAAAGTCAGAGGCTGGACACTCAACCTGACCAACGGGAATCTGGAAGAAGTGGACCTGGGACTCTCATGTGGAATGTGGGCACAGGCAGCCTCATTACCATAATAAGTGACCATCCTGATTTAATACATTGCTAAAGAAAGAAGTCAAGTTCAGATTGACAAAAAATAACATAGTCAGAAAAATACAAAGGAAACACAGACTTTATACTAAGGTGTATGTTTTGATTAATATCAGTATAGCAAAAAACAACAACAACAAAAAAAAACAGCTAAGTCCCAACTTTAAAAAGCAGGATGTATGAATTGCCTTCCTCAGGACAATTCTTGGACAAAATGTGCCCAGGACCGGATACAGTGGGAACCGACTTCCATACAGTGGCCGTGCCAGGCTCTAGCACTTCATGATGATGGGAGGAGGAGCTGGGGAGAGCCGAGCACGCTCGATACCTACTGCTGCTCATCTTGCACCAGAGCTGCTCGGCGAAGTCGAGGTCTCCACGCACTGCGATGAGCACAGACCTGTCCACGGCGGCAGCGTCGGGCTTCACACCCTGGAAGAGACGCAAACACTCAGGTGTCATGGTATGGGACTGGCGGCGTGCAGAGGGGAGGGAAACTGCGGATTCAGGAACACAGAGCAGGACCCGCAGGCATTTGCTACAACTTCAGTCATGGAGGAGGAAAGGCTCAGTCAATACAGGATAACACCGAACCACAAAATTGTTTCAAAACTGTAATTCCTAAAAGCAAACACTCAACATTGCTATCATGTGGAAATCTTTCTGAAACTACCTATTTCTTTATTTCTTCCTCTATCAAATAAGAATATACCGGTTTAACTTAGTAATATCAATATTACAGTATGATAACAATCCATCTGAGAGTGTATTAACATATTCATTTCTATATCTCTACAAATGAACAACCAAATTATTATTTACAATTAATTCTCCTAAAGATACTTACCAGTTCTTAAAGAAAACAAGCACCAGTGCTGAGATTGAAGACAAAAACAACGCAAAACAAAACAAAAAAAAGCTATACCCCAAACACAGCCCTGAATATAAGAGCCTGACTCTATGAGCTCCAGTTGGGATGGTATAACATGAAACCTAACACACAACCCCATCGGAAGGGATTTCAGGGAACACTTCTCATTGGCAAGCTTCACTCACCTCTGTGTCCTTTTTCATAGAATCAGCAAATCCATCCAGCTGCTTCAAATCTAGAAAGCAGAAGTTGGTTAACTCTCGACTTTTCTGCTCTGAAAATTATTTTCATTCTCATCTCCTTTTCAAGTGGCAACTGGAAAATGTAACTGGGGGTTCCAGGTAATTCCTAAATGCTCCAGTGAGAGGAATTTGGGGTAAACATCATGTAAGGGTGAGAGCAGGAACTGAAGGGATGTTGCAGTTCCTGGTACACAACGCCAGGCACATTTTATTTTCCTCCAGTGTCAAATATGTTTATGTCACATAAATTAAAAATTAAATCTTACTGACTTTTAAAAAGCTTGTATTTTTTTTTCAATTTAAAAATTTTTATTATAAAGTCAGATATAGAGGAGAGACAGAGAGGAAGATCATCCTCCATTGATTCACTCCCCAAGTGACCACAACAGCTGGAGCTGAGCTGATATGAAGCTGGAAACTAGGAGCCTCTTCTGGGTCTCCCACGCGGGTGCAGGATCCCAAGGCTTTGGGCCACCCTTGACTGCTTTCCCAAGCCAACAACAGGGAGCTGCATGGGAAGTGGTGCTGCCGGGATTAGAACTGGTGCCCATATGGGGTCCTGGCACGTGCAAGGCAAGACTTTAGCTGCAAAGCTACTGCACTGGGCCTAAGTTTTATTTGTTTTTATTGGAAAGGCAGATATACAGAGGGAAAGATACAGAGAGAAAGATCCTCTGTCCACTGGTTTAATGCCTAAGTGGCCACAATGGTCAGAGCTGAGCTGAGCTGAAGCCAGGAGCTTCTTCTGAGTCTCCTACACGGGTGCAAGGTTCCAGGGTCTTGGGCCATCCACTACTGCTTACCCAGGCTACAAGGGAAGGGAAGTGAAGCACCTGGAACATGAACCAGCACCCATATGAGATTATGGGGATATAAGGTGAGGATTTAGCCACCAGACCATCAGGCATGACCCAAATCTTATTAATTTTTAAAGATGACTGAGATCACCAACATTTGTACTTCACAACAAAAGCTGCCCCCCTTTAACCACATTAACGCTCTCTCTACATGTTCTAATTAAAAAAAAAGATTAGACCTAAACATGAATTAAAGCACAGCAGGTATAAACTCTCCATTAAGAGCAAACAAGACAGGGCCCAGCACCTAGTGGTTAACATTCTTGCCTTTCATGCTCTGGGATACATACAGGCTGGTTTGTATTCTGGTTGGTTCACTTCTCATCCAGCTTCCTGCTTGTGCCTGGGAACAAGCGGATGGCCCAAAGCCTTGGGACCGTGCACCCGCATGGGAAACCCGGAGGAGCTCCTGGCTCCTAACTTTGCATCGGCTTAGCTCAAGCCATTGTGGCCACATGCAAGCTGAAACAGAGGGTAGAGAATCTTTCTCTGTTTCTCTTTTAATCTGACAAAGCACAATTAAAAGACAAAACAAAACACAGACAATAACCAAGAATGAATGATAGAAACAAATACCGTTCAGAAATTCCTGCACAAGTTCCACAGCAGCTTTTGCTTCCAGAGGCTCAAGCCACTCGGTGACACCAGTCCTCATGCCATCAGCCAAAACCTACGGAAGATTGCACAAAGCCCGGGAGTCTGTTAGCAGAAAACACAATGTAAGCTGCTTAAGAATATCGTTTTAACCAGGCCTGACGTGGGAGCATAGCTTAGCAGTTCCTTAAAAAGTTGAGACTCAGTGGGCCCAGTATGGTGGCCTAGTGGCTAAAGTCCTTGCCTAGAACATGCCGGGATCTCATATGGGCACCGGTTCTAATCCCAGTGGCCCTGCTTCCCATCCAGCTCCCTGCTTGTGGTCTGGGAAAGCAGTTGAGAACGGCCCAAAGCCTTGGGACCCTGCAACTACGTGAAGACCTGGAAGAGCTCCTGGCTCCTGATCGGTGCAGTACTGGCCGTTGAGGTCACTTGGGGGGTGAATCATCAGATGGAAGATCTTTCTCTCTGTCTCTTCTTCTCTCTGTATATCTGACTTTGCAATAATAAATAAATAAACGTTAAAAAAAAAAATGTTGCGACTCAGAGCAGCTTCAGCCAAGGTGTAAAGACATCTGAACCAAAGTGCTGATGGCATCACTCCCCACAGCTAGTAGAGATAACTGAGACGGCTGGCCGACTGCATTATGTCTAGGAACCAGGGACAAAGTACCACAGAAAGCAGATGAGTAGTTGCCAGGAGTTTCTCACAGGTCTCCCACATGGGTGCCGGGGCCCAAGTAATTCCACTATCTTCCACTGCTTTCCCACCTCATTAGCAGGGAGCTGGATGAGAAATGGAGTTTCAGGGGAGATTTAGCTTGCTATGTCACTGCTGTGTCACAATGCTGGCCCTTGTGGGCTGCTTGCTTATTTATTTTTATTTATTTTATATATTTATTTTTTAAATAAACAAACAAACCACATTAGGTGAAAGTAAACTTCCCAAACCATCATGATTATCTAATAGCCACATAACATTTGGAACACCTTTTGAAGAATGTAAAGTTAAAAAACGCTATCAGCAAATACTGTCACAAAGTGCTGAGGTTGGAGCACGTCAGGAACTGTGGAAGGATACTCACGAGGAGGAACCTGAGCTCTCCGTGGAGATGATTCACACGACTTCTGGGTTCTCCCAACTCCACTTTGATATTCTAAAAAAGTTTGCAAAGTCTGTCAGTTTGGCTAGTAGTCCCATAGACCTTTGCATCTCATAGCATCCACACAGCGAAAGCTCCCAACCATTAAGCTCCTGGAGAAATCAAAGCCAACACCTCATTCTGAACCTCCCACCCAGGGATCCTGTGGGTCCTGCCATCCTAGTGGGGCAACCTAAACTTGGGCCACCATGGAACTTATACTCCAGCTCAACCAGCGGCAGCCGTCTGAAGCAATGGCCATTCTTGCCCCTGAAACTTGAGGGGGGCACGGAGGAGAAATGGAAATCAAGATTCTCTCAAGAGTCACCAACGACTGGACATCAGCACACACCAGAAGTAAGGACCCCAAGAAATATGATCAGAACCCTATTTTAAACCAACAATGTGATGTCCTCATCAGGGGTCATGGCTTTAGAAACTGAAGACCTTTAAAAAAAAAAAAAAAAGCAGATGTGAACGTGCCCAAGTCTTCAGAGACCACGGGGAGCCCAGCAAGAACCAATGCACGGCCAGCAGTTCTCTGCGCCAAAACAAAGTTGTCTTTTCATTCCATTTCCCCACAAACTTTCAGAAGTACCCTCACATGTACATTCCTATTAAAGGAAACAATGACACCCACAGTGTAATTTTCCATGGTCCTATCATTTTGATGGAGTTAGTGTTTACTGATCCAGATTTCCATGAAATGGTTGTGTTCCTACTGTACATGTAATTTTATATTTTTCCCTTTTTGTGTTTAAAATGAGTGCTTCTTGGTAGAGACTACTGTTTACATTATTACAAACAGCAGAGACAATTTAATGATGTCACATTATTAATTCCTAGAAAATTCTTAGGTCCCAGAAGCACAGGGCTATGGACAACTGATAGTTCATTCAGCTCGCCAGGCAAACCTCCACTGATCAGTGTGGTGAGACTTGAGGGACCAGGCTAGCCCTTCAGAGTTGTTCAGCCTCAAGGCAACTCCCAGGCCAAGAAGCCCACAGCAGCAACCACAGGCAAGCACATGCACCCTGGGGGCCCTCAGGGCCAGCTGTGAGGGGAAGGGCCCCTCCTACCAGAGTCGCAGCTGAAGAGAGCGGAGGGCTTTGAAGAATCTCATCCACAGGACTCCAAGAGATATCCAATATGATCGTAGTATGTGATGTGCCGATGGTTTCATCCAGGGCAGTGGACTTGAAGAGCTCATACTGGGCAAAGCCCTTGGCCGTGACCTGGAAAGAACGCACCCAGCAGACCATCAGCAAAGCTTTCACATAGCCAAATGCTCACCAGATTCTTTGAGGGCCAGATGTTTGGCAGAGTGTGTAACCTGCTATGTGGTACACTCACATCCCAGGCCTGAGTATATGGATTCGAATCCTGGCTTCACTTCCCACCCAGCTTCTTGCCAGTGCACACTGGGAAGCAGCAGTGATGGCTCAGGTAACTAAATGCCTGCCACCTGCACGGGAGACCTGGTGGCGGCCCAGGCTGCTTGCTCTGGTCTGGCCAGCCCTGGCTATTGCAGGTATTTGGAGAATAAATAGCAGATGGAAGATCCTGATCTCAATCTCTCTCCATCTCTTTCTTTCTCTCTTTCTCTTTTCTTGCCTTTAGAACAAATTAAAAAATTAAACACAAGAAAATATTACTTTGATTCCTACTGCAAAAGAAGAAAAGGTACCATATTCCATCCTTTCATTCCAATGGAAAAGTGAAACAAATCTTTCAAGTCACAAAGTTTAGTTCAAGCAGGAAAGCATGAATAGTCAGTTCTATGTTTCTGGGTTCTGCATCTGTGGACTCAAAACTCTTTCTGTACTCAACAAGTACAGAGTTTTTCTCATGTCATTATCCTTAAATAATAGTGCTAACAACTATCTACATACCTTGTGTATTATAAGTAACCTAGACACAATTAATCCATACAGGCTATATGCAAATATTTCAGTATTTTCTCAAAGTGACTGAGCCTCATTAAATTCTGGTATTCAGGATAGGGTACTAGAAAAATTCCCACGGACATTGAAAGATGACTATTTTCAGTCACCGCTGATATGAAAATCAACGCAACAATTTGGTCCTACAGAAAAGTATGTGGTCATACCAGGGATGAGAAGACATTCAACCTGCAAACGCAGGAAGGCAAGAGCTTGAAGAAAATAGAATGAGTAGAAGAGAAATACTCACAGCAGAAACGTGATGCCTTTTCTTGTGTAAATTTTTTAGGTGTTCAAGATTTGCCAGATAACCTTTTTCAGCTATAGGGCATTTTTAAAAGAAAATAATTATTAAATTTTGAGGGTACCATAACATTAATAACTGAAGTTAATCATAGATGAATGTTTATAAAAGAATGAAAGTAGAACAAAGATAAATACCACCAACAAAATAGAATTAAATACCTACTGTGATATTAGAATTACATTGTCATGGATATTTGTGTGGTAGCAGAGTAGGCTAGTTCTTTGTGGCATTGGCACCCCCATATAGGTACCAGTTTGGACCCCAGCTGCTCTACTTCTGATCCAGCTCCCTGCTAATGGCTGGGAAGGCAATGGAGGATGGCTCAAGTACTTAGGCCCCAAAACCCATGTGGGAGACCTGGGAGAAGCTCCTGGCTCCCAGCTTCGAGCAGCCCAGCTCTGCCCAGCCCCGTTTGGGGAGTGAACCAGCAGACTGAAGTCCTGTCTCTCCCAGTCTCTTTGTGAATCTTTCAAGTAAGATACATTAATCTTTAAAAAAGAATTTACAGATGCTGGGCTGAGTAACATGCCAGGATTCAATTCCCAGCTCCACCTGATGCCAGCTTCCTGCTAATGCACACTTAAGAAGCAGTAGGCAGGGGCTCACGTAGTTGGGAAACTAAAATTGTATTTCTACTTCCGGGCCATGGCCTGGCTCCAGTGGGCATTTGGGGAGTGAAGCAGCGGATGAGAAATCTCTCTCTCTGCCCTTCAAATAAATATAATAAACAATGATATTATAATTCTATGCAGTGTTTTTATCCTCCAACAAAAACTACACACACAAAATCAAATGAAGCCCTAACACTCCTGTTCAGATTTTTAAAGAGCTATTTCTGTTTCCTGGGAGGCTTCCTGATGGATGAAAGGCACACACCAGAGTACACTCATATTCAAAAGCAAAGTCAAAACCATTGCTTCCACTTCCTCACAGCACTTGTCAGTTAACTACACATTAGAGAGAGTACCCACCTTTACAAGTGACCACATACAGGACGACTCCTGTGATGCTGTCATTTGTGCTGACAAGCTCAGCTCCTAGCCAACAGGTACCTTCAGGATCTGAACTGTCACATCTTGCCCAAAGAGGAGGGAGGGCAGTAACTGGCCGATCAATCTTCAAATGGGTCATGTTAGGGTTGTGAGCCATGGTGTACAACCCGATTAACTGCCTTGAAAATGCAAGGGGAAAATAAATAAATACATAAATAAATACATAAGAAAAAAAAAGAAAGAAAGAAAGAAAGAAAAGAAAACATAGGGTCCAGCACAGCAGCCTAGCGGCTAAAGTCCTTGCCTTGCACGCATCAGGATCCCATATGGGTGCCAGCTCATGTCCTGGCAGACCCACTTCCCATCCAGCTCCCTGCCTGTGGCCTGGGAAATCAGTGGAGGAGAATGACCCAAGGCCTTGGGACCCTGCACGCATGTGGGAGACAAGGAAGAGGCTGCAGGCTCGTGACTTCAGATTGGCGCAGCTCCGGCTGTTGTGGCCACATGGGGAGTGAATCAATGGAGGAAGATCTTCTTCTCTGTCTCGCCTCCTCTCTATATATCTGACTGTCCACTAAAAATAAATAAATCCTAAAAAAAAAGAAAGAAAATGCAAGGGAATAGAACAAATTACAGGGGACCTGCTGACCAAGCAAGAATTCTTCTTTTAAAAAGATATCCTGAGAGATTTCACACAGAAAAGCAAGTGGTGAAATGCAAATCAAGATAAACTTCACTCTGAGGAAGACCAGCAGAAGGGCTCACCAGGAAAATCCATGTGCATATGCTAAAGGTGAGACGTGAGCAGCCCTGGAGCCAGGGACTGGGAGGAGCAGGGCAGGGGCCTAGTAAGGAGACAGCTGTCAGCACGGCAAGAAGCGCCACTGCTCCCTGGGACAGTCAGCCACAGGCACAAACGCTGTGCTTCTAGATTTTTATCCTTGTTCTACAGCTGTGTGAGACAATGTACCTGATATCAGGAAATACACAGTGAAGCATTTACTGCTGGAAAGAACATAATGTCTCTAATAATCTGTCAATTTAAAACAGGTATGTGTATGCTCTATATTCACACACACAATACTTGGATGTATTGTACATATGTAAGAACACATGTGATTCACATCTTACACAAGGGAATCTCAAAGTTCATGGGAAAGGGAATTAAAAGATCAATCTGAAGCATTTGGTGCAGCTGTTAGGAAGCCGCTGGGGCACCCACATCCCCACCACAGTGCCTGGGCTGGACTCCTGCTTCTGAGTCAGACTCCAGCTTCCTGCCAATATGCATCTGGGAACGCAGTGAGCGACAGCCTCCGTACCTGGGTCCCTGCCACTCGGGAAGGGCACCCCCACGAAACTCGTGGCTGCTGGCTCTGACTCGGTCCAGACCCAGAGAATGGCAGGCACCTGGGGAGTGAAGCAGCAAACGGCAAGATCTCTGTTGGCTTCTCTCAGCCTTTCAAATAAATATAAAAAATTAAAGAAAAAGAAAACATAAGCTGGGAATAAGAATATGGTGTGGGGGTTAGGATGCCAGGTGGAAGGCCTATATCCCGCACAACGTCTTGGTCCAACCTTGGGCTCCACTCTCAGCCCCAGCCTCCTGCTAACGCACACCTAGGGAGGCAAGTGGCTGGGTCTCTGCCACCCACATAGGGGACCAGGCCCAAGGTCCTGGCCTCTAGATGTGGCCTGTCCCAGCTCTGCCTACTGTGCGCATTCGAGCAGTGAGCTGGTGGGTGGCAGAGGTCTAGCTCCTTCATTCCCTTTCAAACAAATTCAGTAAATTAAAAGAAAAATATTTAAGATCAATGTGTTTTTGTTACACACATTATAAGTATATAAAGCATGTTTAGACAGACATGACTCTAAATTGCTTTATGTGTCTATAAATACACAAAGAAAATGACTTGCACCTGCAACAAAATGCAAACAACTGATGAATCTGAGCTACACTACACAGAGGTTTGTTATTCTCGTAACTTTCTGTAAATCTGAAAGTACTTGTGTGTCAAAATTAAAAGTTACTGAAAAATGCAGTTTGAACTTGTATTTCTCAGGGAGATGAAAACTGAATTTATTAGCAACAGATGTTTGAGGATGGAATTTCGAAGGGATTTTATTTCCAAGAGGAAGTACAGTAATCCCAGGAGGAAGTCTAAGAGACAGGAAGAAACGGAGTGCCAAGCAGAGGCAAGCACGTGCCTCGCGCATGTGAGCATGGTGGGAGACAGCACAGCACACAGCAAGTCGCGGGCAGAGGAGGAACAGGACAAAGCGGACTAAAATCAAGGAACTATGAAGGAAAAGATTCAGCTACAGCCAGAAACTTTCTGAAGCACCAGAGGGCAAAACCGCCAGCACAGTAATTTTCTTCTCGTGTTAGCTGCAGAACGCCAGGACTCCGACGGCAGGGCCTCTTGGTTCCGCACGAGGCCCCACAATGGGGAGGCCGGAAGCAAGGCACCAGGATTTCTAGGAGTCACCCCGCTGGCATGCCGGGTGCAGTGATTCCTCACTGGCAAGACAGCTCCAGGCACTACAGGACATTCATACATGCCAAGGGCTCCCCTCCTTCATCTATCAACAGAAACTACCCCTCCTTGGGCCCGGCGCAGTGGCGCAGTGGTTAAGGTCCTCGCCTTGCACGCCTGGGATCCCCTATGGGTTCTAATCCAGGTGGCCCCGCTTCCCATCCAGCTCCCTGCCCGTGGCCTGGGAAAGCAGTCGAGGATGGCCCAAAGCCTTGGGACCCTGCACCCGCGTGGGAGACCCGGAAGAGGCTCCTGGCTTCGGATCGGCATAGCATCGACCATTGTAGTCACTTGGGGAGTGAATCATCAGATGGAAGATCTTCCTCTCTGTCTCTCCTCCTCTCTGTATATCTGCCTTTCCAATAAAAATAAAATAAATCTTTAAAAAAAAAAAAAAAGAAACTACTCCTCCACTGGGCTGGGCAGTATGGTACTGGAGGCTAAGTCCCTGCCTGTGAAGCCTGTAGATCCTGTCGAAGTGCCCGACAGTGCCAGCTGCTCTGCGTCCAATATCCAACTTCCGCTAACCCCCATGAGAAGGCAGATAGACTTAGCTTCAGCCTGGCTCAGTACCAACTACAATTGGCATTTGACAAGTAAATCTGTTACTCTACCCTTCAAATAAATAAATCCTAAAAAACAAAAACAGAAACATAGGTCAATGTCATGGAACAGCAGTTTTAGCTGCCACCTGCAATGCCAGCATCCCATACGGTACCAGTTCAAGTCCTGGCTGCTCCATTTCTAACCCAGCTCCCTGTTAATGCAACTGCAAAAGCAGAAGAAGATAGCTCAAGTGCTTGGGACCTGACACTTATATGAGAGATGTGGAAGAAGCTCCTGGCTCCTGGTTTCAGCTTGGCCCAGCCCAGCCCAGCCGCTGTAGCCATTTAGGGGATGAACCAACAGATCTATCTCTCCTTCTCTCTCTGTAATAAGATTTCTCTTTCTTTATTTGAAGGGCACAGTTAGAGGAATGGAGAGCGAGGAGAAAAGAGAAGGGGAGACAGAGAGATGGTGCGAGAAGAGAATGGATAGGGGAGAGAAAATTTTCAATCTGCTGATTCACTATTCAAATGGTTCCAATGGCTGGGGCTGGATCGAGCTAAAACCAGGACCTGGACCATGGGTGAGGGGGCCCAAGTATTTGGGTCATATTCTGTTGCCTTCCCATATGCACCAGCAGGGAACTGGATCAAATGTAGAGCAGCTGGGGTACTGAAACGGCAGCACACGGGATGCTGGCATCATAGGTGGCAGCTTTACATGCTACGCCATGGTGCTAGCCCTAAACTAAACCTTAAAGAGCATACTATTCCTGGGCCCGGCGCGGTGGCGCAAGTGGCTGAGGTCCTTGCCTTGCACACCCGGGATCCCATATGGGCACCGGTTCTATCCCGGCAGCCCCACTTCCCTTCCAGCACCCTGCCTGTGGCCCGGGAAAGCAGTCGAGGACAGCCCAGAGCTTTGGGACCCTGCACCCGCGTGGGAGACCCGGAAGAGGCTCCTGGCTTCGGATTGGCATAGCATCGGCCGTTGTGCTCACTTGGGGAGTGAATCATCGGACGGAAGATCTTCCTCTCTGTCTCTCCTCTCTGTATATCCACCTTTCCAATAAAACATTATAAAAATAAATCTTTAAAAAAAAAAAAAGAGCATACTACTCCTGGCCCTGCTGCCACCACCTTGTGGCAGGAGGAACCTAGGGGGTGGGTGTTTGACCGCAGGGTTTGGGAAAAAGGAGCCCTAAGCATCGTGGTGGCTGCGAAGGCTACCTGAGCCAGGTTGGACCCAATGCTTGGGCCTCTGACCATGGACTCACGGTGAGTGAATCTTGAGCTTTTGGGAGGCCAGCGTGCCATGCGGTGCGAGGCTCCGCCTACTGGCCATCCGGCGGCGAGCTCTAGGGGTTATTGGTATGTAATTGCTGCCTAAAGACATCCATGGATAAGGCCAAGGTGAGGAATGAATTCAGTGTGACTCCCAGCTTTGGGGTCACTGAAACTGTTGGCAAGTGTGGGGACTGAGACCTCGTGGTTTGGAGGGGAGAGTCTGTAAGATCTGTTTGGGTCAGACTGATTCACTAGCTCACATGGGAGTCCTGAGATGGGCTGTTAAAGCACAACATCACTCATTGCCACACGCCAGCCCACACGAAAGCTATGGCTGAGGCCTGTCTGGCAGGGCTAGATCCCAGTACCTGACTGAGTGTCCGAACAGGGGACGGGGTCACATCAGGAAGGGTCATGACATCAACCAGCACTCAAGAACCAGGTCTGGGAGTATATTCTGCAGGGGATAAATGGGCCCATCCCTGTAAGTCCTGCTGGTTAGCTTAAGAGTTGGGGGTGGCGATTCATGGAACCTGCCATCACTCACGGGTAAAGGAACCAACAACCATCTGGGAAGGTCAGGGCAGCAGTACCCGAATGTACATTCTAAAACTGGGTGTTGGGTGGACCGGGCTGCAATGTTCACCAGCTAATTACAAGGCCAGGACAGAGCGGTAGACTATGCCAGGTATGGGCCTAACACCCATTAGCATGTATGAGATCTGGGTCTGGGAGTGGGTCAAGTGAGGGAGCTTGGGAAACTCCCCTAATGGGCCGTAACTCTCACTGACGATCACACAATCCGGACCTGGGAGTCGGGCAAGCTGGGCAAAGTAGCTCCAATGGCTGGCTAATGTGTGGGTTGGTTGTGGAAGAGGGTGGACTGGGCGGGGCTGAGCAACCCTTAGCTCAGCAGCAGGAACAGATCAGGATGGAGCTCCGGTCATGCTGAGCTAGGCTCTTGCATGGCTCTTGCTGGTTTGCGTGAGCCAGGGATGCCAGGCTACAGTATCTAAGGCAAAGGCCAAGACAGATGAAGGGTATGCCAGGCTGGATCAGAGCAACCACTGAAATGTGCATGATCTATGGCTGAGAACAGGCCTGGTTGGGGAACTAAGAGGATACCCTGGCTGAGTTGGGGTTCCCACTGGTGAGTGCTAGGGCCAGAGTAGGGGCTGTGTTCTGGTCTGGTTATGGCTACAGTGTCCCTTAGCACAAGTGTGGACTGGGACTGGGCACACCAAGTCGGACTAGACTCCAGCACCATCTGGTGCTCTGGAGGACCAGGGTAGATATAGGATGGACTAGGCTAGGTCTCTGCCCCTACTGAGCCATGTGTGAGCTGTGTCTGGGTATGGATGGGCTTTGGCTGGGCTGGAACATCCAACAGTAAGAACCAGAAGGGGTTGAAGGCCAGTCAGGAAAGGCCACTGTTACTGCCAGGACAGGAGGTGGACTAAATAGGGATGGCCCATGAACCCACCGGTATGTGTGAGATCTGGCATAGGGAGAGGTTCTGATGGAGGAGCTTGGGCAACTCCCCTGTCAAGACAAAGTTCCTGCAGGTGAGCACAAGAACCACAATAGGGAGAAGCCCAGACTATGCCAAGAAAAGGTACCCATCAGCATACATTTGGCATAGGTCAGGGGCGAACCAGGCTTAACAAGTTCACATCACCCACTGGCGAATCCCAACATCAGAACAGAGTATGGGTCAGGCCAGGTTTGATTGCAACATATACCACTACACAGTAAGTCTGGGATTGGGTGCCTGCTGGGATGAGCTAGGATGTAACCCCAGCAGCGTCAGCTGGCATTGGGGGTGCGCTGAGCTGGGCCAAGCTAAAGCAATCATTGGTAAAAATCAAGGTGAGGGAGGCCATACCACACTGGGCCACAGCACCCAACTAGCGAACGTAAAATCCAGGGGGGGAGGGAACAGAACCAGTGGGGGAAATGTGGAGGGTTTCCTTGCTAGACCACCACTCCCACTGGAGAGCAGGAGTTGGGATGGCAGACGACCAGACCAGGCATGGCTGCAACACCTGTGGGCCTCATGTGAGCTGGATCAGGGAAAAGCCAGGCTGGGCCGACAGCTCCCACTGGTACAAGCATAAATCAGAGTGGGTGAGGGTTAGTTGGGCTTTGCTGCAGCATCAGCTGGCACAGGCTGGCACTGGGGGCTAATTCTGTCAAGTTAAACTACAGAACCATCTGGAGAGTGCATGATCCAGGAGTGGGAATGGGTCCAGGAGGGAAATAGCGGGCATCTCCCTCTGGGATTATCACTCCCACTGGAGAACATGAAAACCAGGACTGGGGCAGCAGTGGCTAGACAGAAAGGCACCTACCAGCATGTGAGTGGGCTGGATAGTGGGGCTGGTTGGGTTGAACTAGGCTTCAATGCCTATCGACACGTATGAGAGCTGAGTGGGATGTGGCACAGACTGGACAGGTCTGCTGTGCATGCTGGTGGGCACAGGAACCAGGGCTGGGGATGAGCCTGGTGGAGGTTATTGCAGGTCGATCCAATTAGGCTACAGCTCCCACTGGTTTGCTGAGGGCCAAGTGTGTGCTGGGCAGAATCAGGCTGGAGTCTACACCCATTGGTTTGTGCAGAAGACAGGACTGGAAGCACTGATGACCCAGCAGTGTGGCCACAAGCATATGCATAAGCTGACTGAGGCAACAGATTGTGCCAGACCCTATATTGGCATGTACACAAAAAAATCGGATCTGGGATCACCTCAGATGAAGTTTCTTTGGGGATCCCTCCAAATGAACTGCTGATCTCAGAACCCCAACCATGAAAAAGTACAGGTTCCATGGTCTGACCATGGAGTGCAGGTGTCAAAACTGAGCCTCCTTAGTGGCTCAGACAGAGCAGTGGACAGCATATCCAGGTGCACATGGAGGATATGGCAGTCCACTGAAGGCTGCAAAGGACACTGGTACCACAACAGAGAACAGAGGACAGAGCGAATCAATCAACTACCCCAGCCATGTGTTGGCAGTGAAAATCTGGACAGACTTTAAAGTGGACTATGTCAACCAGTGGATTCTGCAGTGATTTCATCGTGCTTAGAATGGCAAGACTGGTAGAAATTCAAAAGTGTTTCAACTATCAAAACCACCTGAGCAGGACCCTTGGAGCATGCCCCAGCCAGGGACTTGGGATGGTGGGAGGGTGGGTGGGGCTTCTCCCTTTATCTCCCCCCTTACCCCAGATACAGAAAAGAAATAATAATTCTGTTGAAACAATGGTCTTACCCACTGTCCTGTATCCCTTGATCCTTTGTGCCCTAATCAGCAATGTAAAGACTGTCAAAATAAAATAATTTTTTAAAAGAGCCCGGTGCAGTGGCCTAGCAGCTAAAGTCCTTACCTTGAACGCACCAGGATCCCATATGGGCAATAAAACTATTTTTATTTATGACTTTGCAATAAAAATACATAAACCTTAACAAAAAAAAAGCACACTACTTCTGCCTATTTCTAGTGAGCACTGGGTTCAGTTCCCATCCCTGGGGGAGGAGGACCACTGGGGAGAAACAGGGAACTCTGTCATGAAGGCAGTGAAGACACACTAAGATTTTAAGCAGGGAAGTGATACAGCCTGGTTTTAATTTTACCAACATTACTCGAGTAGTCAGGAGGAAAAGTGACTGAAGGGGCCCCAGATCAGACACAAGGGAAACTATGGTACAGCAACGATGAGTGGGCAGAGAGGGCTGGGGAAGGGACGGTGCCTGCAGCCGCCCTGGTCGCGGCTGGGTTCTGCACGGCTTTCCAGAAGAGCCATCCTTGGAAAGCTGAAGCTGGGTGCTGTTCCCCAGTGTGTACCAGGACCTTCCTCCCCTTCCCCCATACTGAGAAAGAATTTACCTGGCTCTCCTGACTGGCAAAGCAAGGGGCCCCACATTTTCACCAGTAGAGAAATCCAAAATGGCAGTTTCTTCAGGCTGTGATTCTTCCACATGACTCGTCTCTTTCTTTTCTAAGGGCTTTAAAAACATTTGCTTATTATTCAGCCAAATAAAAGATTACTTCAAACAACAGCCAACTCCTCACTATGCTAGGAAATAAGTACAAAGGACACAAGCTACTGTTTCTCTACTCTTAAGCACAAATGATTGGTGCAGTAGCCTAGTGGCTAAAGTCCTCATCCTGAATGCGCTGGGATCCATATGGGTGCCAGTTTGTGTCCCAGTTGCCCCGCTTCCCATCCAGCTCTTTGCTTGTGGCCTGAGAAAGCAAACGAGGACGGCCCAAAGCCTTGGGACACTGTACCCGCCTGGAAGACCTGGAAGAAGCTCCTGGCTCCTGGCTTTGGATTGGCTCAGCTCCGACTGTTGTGGCTATTTAGGGAGTGATTCAGCAGATGGAAGATTTTTGTCTCTTTCTGTCTCCTCTCTGTATATCTGACTTTCCAATACAAATAAATAAAACCTTAGAAGAAGAGAGAGAAGCATTCTAATGTGGCCAAAATGACTAGCTAAAAGCAAAATGCCAGAAGAAACCTGTGGGAGGTGCTGAGATGTGGGCATTTCCATTCTCCAAACTGGAAGACCCTCCTGCTCAGCTGTGACCATGGACGCACCACCCTCCTTGTAGAACTATCAGCTCCGCCAGTCCCACCAAGAACAGGCATGGACATTTCCTGCACATTACTATTTGGTATGCACGGTTTCTAACATCTCTGTTGTGTTAATGATGTTATGCCCACACCGAGGAGTACTACTCAGCATGAAGAGAAATAAACTACTGCGTGCTGAGAAACTGGGTGAATCCTAAGGGTGCTACATGAGGTGAAGAAGTCATCCATGCTGTGGAGTCCACGCATCACAGTGAGAGAAGGGCTCAGAGGGGGCCGGGCCGGGGCTGGCGGAGGCTGTCATCACACAGGGATGCTGTGCACCCGTTTTCTTGGGAGATGGAGCTATTCTGGATCCTGGTGATCACAAGAACTGATATTTGTGCAGAAATTCATAGAACCACAAGCAAAAGAAGAGAGTCAGCTTAATGATCACTTCATATCTTTTCTTTTCTTAATGAGACCATCAGAAAATTTCAAATTACGTTTGTGCCTCACATTACATTTCTATTAGACCATACTTATTACTCTTGAAAGAATTCACTAGTGCTGCTGAAACAACATATGTTTAAGAGTATTTTTTTTTTTTCACCACTAAGGCAATAGCTGCAGCTGGTGCAGGTGTGTAGGTATAGGTGTAGGTGCAGGTGTGTAGGTGCAGGTGTGCAGGTGTGCAGGTGTATAGGCGCAGGTGTAGGTGTTAGCAGTACTGTCCTTACTAGGCATTTATTGGACGGTACCACAACCCCAAGAAAAGGATGGTTAGAGGGTATTTTTAAGGAATAAAATATTATAACCTAAAATCAAACAACTGGGACCAGCATTGTGATATAACAAATTAAGTGGCCACCCACAACACCAGCATTTCACATGGGTCTGAGCTCTGGTTGTTCCACTTCTGAGCCAGTTCCCTACTAATGCATCTGTAAAAGCAGTGGCAGGTGGCCCAAGTACATTAGCTCCTGCCATGCATGTGGGAAACCTTGTTGAAGCTTCTGGCTCCTTGTGTGTCAGCCCTGCCCAGCCTCGGTCATTGTGGTCATTTGGGGAATGACCAGTGGACAAATGATCTCTGCTTCTATACCTCTACCTTCCAAATAAATAAATAGATCATCTTAAAGCCTAAGCACGACTTACCACTTGTTCCACAATGAATATAACGTCATTTTCCTTCAGGATATTTCCCAAGGGGTTTGGCTGCCCTTTGCTGATCAACTGTACTTGAACGTCAGCCTGCTCAAAACAGATGACGAGCCATGTTACTCTCACATATATTTTTCATACATACTTTCAAACCTAAGAGCAGTTCTATGCAAATGGACTGGAAGAGAGAAGCTGAATGAGACCGTGTTACAAGTTCCTCTGCAGGTTCAGAAAATGCAGCTCCCTGCTTCGAGGCATTCCCGTAGCGCACCTGGCCTTACAAAGACCCTACCGACTCACGGTATCTCCTGGTCAGCCCATCCCATCAGCACCTCACTAAGCATTGTGCTGACTTTAGAACTTAATCGCCTGCTAAGACCTATGTACTTTTTCATTCCAATTGCAATACATGTTTGTTGTAGAAAGCTTGAAGACATAGCTAAAAGAAGTTTCTTTTGTTGTTGCTGTTTTGTTTTTACATCACTATAATTCTACAACTCAGCTCACTGACCACTGGTTTTGGTTGGTCTGTCTCTACCAGATCTTTTTACAGGCACATGAACAAATCTATTCAAACAGAAACGCATCTTTTTGGATATCCAGAAACAATCTTGCTCAGTGGCTTTATACAGTGATACTCTGGCTGTCTAGGCCCATAGCTCCAGCATCACAGAGTGAAATCCACAGAGTTCAACACTTGGATCTTCAATTCTGCTAAGATGAAGCCCGACAGTCACATGTCTTGCAAACACGCCCTACCTACACACACGTTTACCTTCCGTCGCCTCTATCTGCACCCCGAGTTTTCAGGGCCTGTGTATCTGCTCACTGATGAGGCTCAGTCATCTCTGATGACAAATCCCCCTCCTTCCTGGAACACTTCATCTCCCAGTCTGACTCTTGAGGTGGGAGGGCCAAGCACTCTAGGTTATTTTCATCATCTGAGATTTGAGGACTGATGCGTGCCACCTACAAAGATGTCTTGACCTCTGGCTCCTCTGAAATGCGCTCTTCTCTGGAAGCAGCCTCTGCAGATGCGATCAAGTTAAGAGAAGATTCTATCTGCAACAGGACAGGTCCTAAATCCAATGACTGCTGTACGTCAGGATAGAAAGATTATAGACACCTAAACACATAGAGAGAAAGCTGTGTGCTAGGGAGGGAGTTAAGCAGATGTGTCTACAAGCTAGGTAACACCAAGGCTTGCTGGGAATCACCCAAAGCCAAGAAAAAGCATGGTGGGTGGCAGGAGCCCTCTACAGCCTCCAGGAGAGGCACGGCCCTGCCCACACTTGGATTACAGTCTTAGAATCTCCAATACTGGGAGAGAAAAAGCTTCTGCTCCAGTAAGCTGCCTCATTTGTGGCACCCTGAGTCAGCACCTCTACGAAACTGACCCATAACAAGCAAAAATAATGCATAAAGACTAGGCTGGGCTGCAGCACCCATGGGTTCATGAGAGATACAGGGCCGAGGCAGAACTGACCAAGCTCGGCCCGGCACCATGGCCTAGCAGCTAAAGTCCTTGCCTTGAACGCCTGGGATGCCATATGGGTGCCGGTTCTAATCCCGGCAGCTCCACTTCCCATCCAGCTCCCTGCCTGTGGCCTGGGAAAGCAGTCAAAGATGGCCCAATGCTTTGGGATCCTGCACCCACGTGGGAGACATGGAGGAGGTTCCTGGCTCCTGGCTTTGGATTAGGACAGCTCCGGCCGTTGCACTCACTTGGGGAGTGATTTATTGGACAGAAGATCTTCCTCTCTGTCTCTCCTTCTCTCTGTATATCTGACCTTGTAATGAGAATAAAATAAATCTTTAAAAAAAAAAAAAAGAACTGGGCCCGGCGCAGTGGCGCAGTGGTTAAGGTCCTCGCCTGGCACGCCCGGGATCCCATATGGGCGCCGGTTCTATCCCGGCAGCCCCGTTTCCCTTCCAGCTCCCTGCCTGTGGTTCAGGAAAGCAGTCGAGGATGGCCCAAAGCTTTGGGACACTGCACCCGTGTGGGAGACCCGGAAGAGGCTCCTGGCTTCGGACCGGCATGGTATCGGCCGTTGTGCTCACTTGGGGAGTGAATCATCGGAGGGAAGATCTTCCTCTCTGTCTCTCCTCTCTGTATATCCGCCTTTCCCATAAAAAAAAAAAGAACTGATCAAGCTGTGGCCACTGGTATGTGCACTGGTTGGTGCAGAGGACAGACCGCACCTGACCTGCACTGGCTGGCACATGTAAGAGTCAAGACTGAGGTCACCCCAAGTAAGGTCTCTTGAGAGGACTGCCTGATTGGAATGCTGGACTCAGACTTTGGCCACAGGGAGAACCACAGGATATGTGGTTCAACCTTACAGTGTACTGGACTGGGCCTCCTCAATTGCCGATGCCTGTGCAGTGGACAGCATGTCCAGATGCAATGAGGGACAAGACAACCAGCTCAGAGAACGTTAACTGCCTCATCAGAGGATGGAAAGCAGAACAGGTTGGACAGTTCTCCCGGACAAGCTTTGCAGCATCTTCGTGGGTCTGTGGACACACTAAAGTGGACTTTGCCAAACCATACATCTTGGAAATGAAAGACTTCCTCAACCTGGGAACAATGAAACCAACAACTTTTCAGAACTATCAAAGCCACTCAAGTAACACCGTGGGAACACTTTTCCACCTCAGGGTTTCTAGGGCATCATCAAAGGACAAACTTCCCCTCCTCCCCTGCAGACACAGGAGAAAAAAAGACTAAAACATGTGTCCCACCCACTTCCCCCATACCTGACCCCCCACTCTAATCAGAGGCCCATACAGGCATGCATCCCTCTCACCTATATAAACAATATTAAAAAATACTAAAAAATAAAATAAAATAAAAAGCAATAGGGGAATATCAGTAACTGCCTGGATACATCTGACCCTTGGATTTGCTAAGGGAAAGGTGTGCCTGCATTCTTCCATGAGAATCCAGCCCCCCTCCCTTGCTCGGTCTACAACTTTGCCTTGCAAATCAGTATTTTCTTAAAAGTATCAAATTGCTCATACCTCATAGATAAACGGGTCCTTAGATATTCCTTTCTTTTCTTCATTAAATTTCCTAAAAAACAGAACAATCATTTATGCTGTTACTTACACTCACCAGTTAAAAACATCATTTGAATTTCGTGTGACCTCAATAAGAAAAAAGTAGGATTAAAAAAAGAGAAAAAAACATGATGTAAAGAACAGACTCGTGACAGAGGTTCCAGGTGGCAGTCCACAAGCGGGTCCCATGGCTTTGCAGAGGTGGCTGTGGAAGTGGGGTTACTGTTGATCTCATCTATCTTGCCAACTATACCACGATTAACATGATGCTGGAGAAAGATCTTTCATATACCAGGTGCATAACCAAGAAGGTAAAGCAACTTTAAGAATTCATGCCTTAGGTGTTTTCCTTTTTCTTTTTTTTTTTTTTTTTTTAAGATTTATATATTTCTCATTGGAAAGATACATTTTACAGAAAGCAGCTGAGACAGAAAGACAGACCTTCCATCTGCTGGTTCATTCCCCAAGTGGCCGCAAAGGCTGGAACCCCCTCAGAGTCTCTCACGCGGGTGCAGGGTTCCAAGGCTTTGGGCTATCCTCTACTGTTTTCTCAGGCCACAAGCAGGAAACTGCAAAGGAAGTGGAGCTGCCGGGATCAGAACCAATGGCCATATGCAATCCTGGTGCATATAAGGTGAGTACTTTAGTTACCAGGCTAACATGCTGGGCCCCAGAGATTAGATTTCTATGATTGTTTCATGAGCTCTTATTAAAAAACTAGGAAATGTGAGTGACTGGCATAGGTGTTACAGCACAGCAGCTTAAGTCTCCCTTTGGGGAGTACTGGCTTATGTTCTAACTACTTCCAACCCAGTTTTCCACCCATACGTTAGTCAGCAGGTGGTAGCCCAAACTCTTGGGTTCCTTCCACCCATGCAGGAGACCAAAATGGAGCTCCTGGCTTTGGCAGACATCAGAGTTAACAAGCAGATGAAAAATCTTTCTCTCTGCCTTTCAAAAATATACATATACTTCAAAAGCACCAAATTAAGATATCACTTAATTTTTTAAAGGATCTATTTATTTGAAAGAGTGAGTTTTAGAGAGAGATCTTTCATCTACTAGTACACTTCATTTAAGAAAGTTTGTAAACAGGGATCAGCATGGTAGCCTAGTAGCTAAAGTTCTTGCCTTGAACACGCTGCGAGCCTGTATGGGCGCCAGTTCATATCCCGGTAGCCCTGCTGCCCATCCAGCTCCCTGCTTGCGGGCTGGGAAAGCAGTCGAGGATGGCCCAAAGCCTTGGGACCCTGCACCAGTGTGGGAGCCTCGATAGAGGATCTTGGCTTCTGGTTTCAGCTTGGCTCAGTTCTGGCCATTGTGGCTGCTTGTGGAGTGAATTATCAGACAGAAGATCTTCCTTTCTGTCTCTCCTCCTCTCTATGTATCTGACTTTGCAATAAAAATAGATAAATCTTAAAAAAAAAAAAAGTTTGTAAACAGTGACCCCAAAGCAGGTAAGCTCTAACAGTAAGATGCACATCAGACTGCAGACACTGAGAGACAAAAGCATCCTTGGTCCTTGAAGGAAGCCAAGACAGGTGCTTCTCAGGCAGCTGGCCTGGGGCAATGCTGATCCTTAAAGAGGGGCACAATGTTTAAGTGCAGGAAAACAGCAAAGACCTCACCACACTGCCAGGTCACAGCAGGCTGTGGCTCAAGGGGCTCATCTGCCACCTGCCTCGCTGGCATCCCTTCTGAGGGCCAGTTCCACTCCCACTTGCTCCAGTCGGATCCAGCTCCCGGTAAAGCAGCTGGGAAAGCAGCAGAGGACGCACCACATGCTAGGGTCCCTGCCATCCACACCCAAAGAAGGCTGCTGACCTTGGCCTCACCTAGCACTAACTGTGGATCAGAAGGTGGAAGCTGTTTCTCCCCCTGCGACTCTTTTTCTACATTTAAAAATCAACGGGCTAGAGGGTATCAGTAGTTCCCAAGCTACAACCACCTGCTGGCAATCACCATTTCTAGGATTTGTCACCGAGGCACCTACGCCACCTAACGCTAAAACGTGGGAAGCAGCGGGTGCTCCTCGGATGTGGGGGCAACCACACTGACAGTGTAGGCCGCCTGCAAGGGCGTTAGCAGCTGCTTTTCCCTCTCTTGGGGGCGCCTCCACTTGACCCAGGGCTGTGCACCCCACATGGACCAGTAGTTTCTGCCAACACTGGTTCGATCTACACAGACGTGCTCTCCCGGAGGACAGGCGCCAGCTCTGACGTGGGCCCAGCTCTCCTCTCTCCTTCCTCCTCCCGGACCCCGCAAAGCAGAAGCGCGAATCCTCCAGGACAGGAGCCGAGCCCGGGCGCCAGGCGACGGCAGGAACCAACACTCACTGCAGCAGACCGGCGTACAGCTCCTCCGCCGCCCGGTTGGCCCGCGCCCACATCACGGACCCCGTGCTGGACCCGAAGTCTACACTTCCCAACCGAATCGCGCGCCGCACTGCCGACGTCACGGGCCACCACCCCGCCCCGCCGGGACTACTTTTACAACGCCCCCCAGTCCCGCTTTTCCGACAAGTTCAATTTTTTTCTCTTTCAAAACCCCCAGATTCTTGTCTTCCTTGTTCCGTGACCTTCCATTTCCATTGAGGGGCGGGAGGGGGGAGAAAAAGTATTTTTAAAAGTGCAGTGGTGGCGGGAGGGGTAGCGTGGGAGCAAGTCTCGCGAGAGTTGATGACGCCCCTCCCTCGTGCGGATGACTCCGCGAAAAAAGAGTCCCTGGTTTCTGAGCACTATTACTAGCTTTGAAACCCAATATATACCTTAACCGACTCAGATTCAGGAATAAAACGCTATTTATGATTGACCCTAGGTGATCTCAGGGAAGTTTGGTGGCTCGATTTGGGTCGGAGTCAGTGCAAGGTGGGGACCCGGGTGGAAGGTTACATAGCGGGCGGGCGTGACTACCACTTCCTTTTCCTGTGAGAGCCGTCGGGCTGCGAGGAGCGTGGCCGTCAGCTCTCTCGCCATGGTGAGTGCGGGGCGGCCGGGTCGGGCTCTACGGCCCTGCTGGCCGTGTGTGCGTCAGGGAAGGATAATCGGGCTTAGAAGCGCGCGGCGGCGGGAGCGGGGAAGAGCCGATACTCCCGCCGGCTGTCCTGCTCGGGATGCTGCGCTGCGGGGCCGGCGGCAGCCATCTTAAAGGGACAACGTGGGCCTCCCGGCCCGGGAGTTTCCTGACGGGGCTGAGGAGAGCCTGCGGGAGGCCGAGACCGAGTGGGTTGGAGAGAGCCGACGGGAGGCCGGAATCGAGGGGCTGAGCAGAGCCGGTTGGGTGCCGAGACCGAGTGGGCTGAGGAGAGCCGATGGAAGTCCCGTATCGAGAGAGCTGAGGAGACCCGTGGGATTCCGGGACGAGGGGCTGAGGACAGCAGGAGGCAGGCTGGGACCGAGGATGACACGTGGGAATGGCTGCCGGGATTCCCGCGGGTCTTGGGGAAGCAGCACGTGTGGGGGCCAGGTCGCCTGCCATGATGTCGTAATTTGCGTCTGACTCTGTTCGCGGCGACAGTTGCCTGCTGTCACTACGCCGGTTCAGAAGGTTGACGAAAATTGTCACTGAGCAGGACTTACTTGCTGGGGTTAGGATGTGTGGCAGGAGGAGGAAGAGCGAACGGGAGTGATACAGCCGGAAACAGCTTGGGCGGTGGGAGGCGATACATGCGTCCTGACAAGTTCCAGGGGTGCAGACCAGATAGTGTGTCCCCAAGCTGCGGCCTTTGGCTTCTGCTCAGGTGTGCGGTTTTGAACAATACCTGTGGGCTAAGCTCAGGATACGCAAATAGGAGTGGAATCCTGTGGGGGTCGAGAAAAGTTTGTGTGGCAGGGTGATTGGTCCTAGGCGTCCTGCCTGGTACGATGTGCTCCAAGGTGGACAACTCGGTGATCTGGCAGTGTTGTCTTGGGTTCTGAGCCTGACTGTCCCTCCCTCGTGCCCAGGCGTGCGCTCGGCCACTGATCTCGGTGTATTCGGAGAAGGGGGAGTCCTCGGGCAAGAATGTCACGCTGCCCGCCGTGTTCAAGGCCCCCATCCGCCCCGACATCGTGAACTTTGTTCACACCAACCTGCGCAAGAACAACCGGCAACCCTATGCCGTCAGTGAACTGGCAGGTACTGATTTGGGTCCTTGGTGGCTTGGTGCTTGGGCAGGGGTTTGTGGCAATTTCCAGTGGTGATGAAATTCCAATTCATTGGTCCGTGTTTCTGAATCCAGTGATTGTTTTGGATGCTCTGATGCTACTTGTTCTGATAATTTTAGTTGACTGGTGTGATCATTATCTGAAGCTAACATTTTCCCTCCCACACTTTCAGGTCACCAAACCAGTGCCGAGTCTTGGGGTACTGGCCGAGCTGTGGCTCGAATTCCCAGGGTGCGAGGCGGTGGCACCCACAGATCCGGCCAGGGTGCTTTTGGGAATGTATCCTTTGCTTCAGAAGCTGCTTTGGTCAGCTGTCATGGAGTTGAATGGATTGCACCTGTTTCACAGATGGAGCATAGAAATATATAGAGAGATGCATGCTTAGATTTTGTTTTCCATGAAAGTCAAGAATTGCCAGCTGATGGTTCACTCCCCAGATGGCTGCTGGAGCCAGTGAGATGCTTCTTAGTGTCTCCCATGTGAATGGAGAGGCCCAAGGACTCAGTCATTATCTGCCTTTTTCCGGTTTGGATCCAGACGGGAGCAGCCAGGACTAAGACCATGGCAGAGGTTTAGCCTACAGCATCACCATACTGACCTCAGTTACAACCACAATGCTAGGGGTGAGCCAGTTAGCGTAGCTCTAGAGATTTGAAAGCTGGTGTGTTCAAGTCTGATGTTTTCTTAGGGGCTGTGTGTGGGGGAAGGCTGCTTGCCATGATGTCGTAATTTGCGTCTGACGCTGTTCTCGGCGACAGTTGCCTGCTGTCACTACGCCGGTTCAGAAGGTTGACGAAAATTGTCACTGAGCAAGACGATCCTTCTCCAAAACAATGACTGGAACTTGAAAGAAAGGAATATGACACTTAACTGCGTCTCTAGATGTGCCGAGGAGGCCGCATGTTTGCACCAACCAAAACCTGGCGCCGCTGGCACCGCAGGGTGAACACCACCCAGAAGCGCTACGCCATCTGCTCGGCTCTGGCTGCCTCTGCCCTGCCAGCCCTGGTCATGTCAAAAGGTTTGTGAGGACAGCCCTGCCTTTGTGTCCCGGTGGCCTATGTAAGGCCTGTTCATCCTCAGTACTGAGCACTGTGGTGTTGGAGGGTGTGGAGTCAGTCCCGAGTCCCAACTGCTCTCTAGGAACTCTGCAAATAGGAAGCAACTGTCAGAATGATGAGATTCCACTTCATTGGTCCGTGTTTCTGAAAAGCATGATAATTGTGGAGATTCTGATTGACAAATCTTAGCATATATAAGTTTTTTTTCCAAAGTGCTAAGGGTAGCCAGGTAACGGCTGGTTTTGACAGGTCACCGTATTGAGGAAGTCCCCGAGCTCCCTCTGGTGGTTGAAGATAAAGTGGAAGGCTACAAGAAGACCAAGGAGGCGGTCTTGCTTCTCAAGAAACTGAAGGCGTGGAATGATATCAAAAAGGTGGGTTGGATCAGCACAGTCAGGATTCCTGGCATGATCTCAGATCATAAGGATGAGGAACAGAGACTCTGAGAGTTGGTTCTGTGGCATCCAGACATGCTAATGTCCCTTAGACTAGGACGACTCTTTTTTAAGTATTTTACATGAAGTATGATACCTGATAGAAGGGGTGAAGGGATGTAGGAGTGTGTTGAATGTAGACACATGTACATGAATATTAAACGTTTGGTTGGAACCACAATGCAGAACACAAAAGAGAAGTGCCTCATCCAGTGAAACCTTAGTTAGCCCTGGAGCTGGTGGTCACAGCAGTCGGTGACCTCGAGTATGTTTCTTGGTCTTCACATCATCAGCTCATGCTGGTTTTCTTCAGGAAGCTCGATTACAAAGATTGTATCTTACTCAGAATACTAATGCCATTCTAGGTTTACGCCTCCCAGCGCATGAGGGCTGGTAAGGGGAAGATGAGAAACCGCCGGAGGATCCAGCGCCGTGGGCCCTGCATCATATACAATGAGGACAATGGCATCATCAAGGCCTTCAGAAACATCCCAGGTAATTCTGGGTGATCTGTTCTCTCCACTGCCAGCTCACTCGTCTTTCATGATGAAATTCCACCATGGTCCGTGTTTCTGAAATAACGTGATTTTGTGGAACTTCTGATTTGTGCCTGAGTGAGCTGCACTGTTGATGCTCGCAGATAGATGGTAGGCAGCAAGATCTCTGTGCACTTAGGTTTGTGATCCCCTAATTGTCCTTCCCCACTGAAGGAATCACACTGCTCAACGTGAGCAAGCTGAACATTCTGAAGCTCGCTCCTGGGGGCCACGTGGGGCGCTTCTGCATCTGGACCGAGAGCGCCTTCCGCAAGCTAGATGACTTGTACGGCACGTGGCGCAAAGCTGCCTCTCTGAAGAGTAACTACAAGTGAGTCCTTCCACTCTCCTACATTGGATGCACCTATTGAAATTGGACGCTTGAGTTACAGTTTGCCTGTTTCTGTTCAGTTGATTTTTTTTCCCTCTGCTTAACATGCGACATTGAGGTTTGTGGGAGTTTACTGGAACTGAGGATTTGGAATTCATTGTCAGTGCTCTCCCTGCAGCCTGCCCATGCACAAGATGCTCAATACAGACCTCAGCCGGATCCTGAAGAGCCCCGAGATCCAGAGAGCCCTGCGGGCACCACGGTACGGAGACACTTGGCATGCAGCACTGCTCCTGCCTCCTGCGGCCGAGTACTGAGTATGGAACTTGGCAATGTAAGTATGATGCTGAGACGCAGTGCTGTGCTTCTTCCAGCAAGAAGATTCACCGCAGAGTCCTGAAGAAGAACCCGCTGAAGAACCTCAGGATCATGCTGAAGCTGAACCCCTACGCCAAGACCATGCGGCGGAACACCATCCTGCGGCAGGCCAGGAATGTGAGTGCGCCCTCTGCCCTGGGCTGGGGCTCCTGTCCCACCTGACGCTAACCTAACCTTTGTACCTCACCTGTCACAGCACAAACTGCGTGTGGAGAGGGCAGCTGCAGTGCTGGCCGCCAAGTCCGACAAGAAGGAGGGTGCAGACAAGAAGCCTGTGGTGCTGAAGAAGGTCAAGAAACCGAGGGCTGTGGGCATCAAGCAGAAGAAGCCAGTGGTGGGGAAGAAGGCCGCCACGGCCAAGAAACCAGCAGGTGCCAAGAAACCTACTGACAAGAAAACGGCCCCAGAAGACAAGAAGTCCACGGCATAAACTCAGATGTGCTTGTTGCAGAAGGCTCAGTTCCTTTTGGGGCAACTTATTTTGAATAAAGGCCCGATCACAAAGATAATCTGTGTTGTGCATTTTCTGTTTTCACTCCCTCCCCTCCATTTCCTGGTGTGTATGTTGAGCGCCTGCGGCTGAGGAGCAGTCTGTTCTGCAGGAGCTGTTCTTGGACACAGCTGTCCCAGGGCTGCCGAGGGGAGCAGAGGTCCTGTGCTGCCTGCCCGGCTGGAGGGGAGCCCCTAAAGGGGCATGGCTCACCAGGGGGCCGCTGCAGAGAAGGCTCTTCCAGCTGCTGGGCAGGATCCCTGTGTGGGCCTCCCACGCGGGTGCGCGGTCCCAAGGCTTCGGGCTTTCCCGGCCATAAGCAGGATGGGAAGTGGGGCTGCCGGGATTAGAACCGGTGCCCACATGGGATCCTGATGTGTGCAAGGTGAGCAGCACTTTGGCCACTAGGCTACCGTGCCCCGAATGGGATTTTGGGGAGCAGCATATTTCCTAACGTGTGTGCAGACTTCAAGTGCACTCCAGTCGGTCCCGCAGCCGGAGAGGAGCTGCCCGGAAGCGGGGTCTCGCTGGAGGCTGCGCCGGGGCCAGGGTCAAGTGGGCGGACGGGGTGCGGCACCGCCTGCCCTAGAGGCGGCCGGTCTCCCCCATGATCGCATTGCCTTTGAGCAGCCGAGCGCCCGGTGCCGCTCGACCACCTCGGGCGCGCCGTTGCCCGCACGTGCGTCACCGGAAGGCCCGGCAGCCTCGCCGGAAGCAGCCCCTGCCGACCTTCCCAGCATGGGCGTCAGCCCGCCCGCCGTCGCAGTCCCGGAAGTCGGTGCGCGCGTCATCTGTGAGCGACCAGACGGCGGGACGGCGGCGACGCGAAGGCCACCATGCTGAGCCGGCTGCAGGAGCTGCGCAAGGAGGAGGAGACGCTTCTGAAGCTGAAGGCGGTGCTGCACGACCAGCTGAACCGCCTCAAGGTCAGCCGCCACGCGCGCGGCCCCGGGCCCCGGGCCTCGGAGCCTTGCCCCTGCAGGTCTGAGCCGACCCGGGACCGCCCCGCGCTTTGCCCCCGCCGTACCCGCCGGGTCGGGAGCAGCGGTCCCGGGAGGCCAGAGACCACGCCGGGCAAGCCTAGGTGCCCAGAGCCGTGACGACGGGCCGGACGTGGGAGCGACCCCCGAGAGCGCGTCCCGGGACAGCCAGCGGCCCTCGGAGTGCTTTGGTCCACATGGTCCCTGGCAGCCCCGGAGAGGGTGTTGGTGATGCCCTCCCCGACGCTCCAGCCCGCGGCCCTGCCTTAGTCATAGCCGAGTGGACCAGCGCGCAGGCCTAAGCCGTCTGGCCCTGTGGGGCGTGGGAGAGTGACAGTGAGCTGCTGCGTCTGGTAGTGTTGCGGTGGGAGCCTGGGCTGCCCAAGGAGCAGGGGCTGGAGTTGTTGCTCTCCCTAGCAGGTAGGGAAGGCTTAAACTGCCCCTCCCAGGCCACACCCCATCATGGCGGCACCAGTAGCTTAGTGGAATAGTCGTTCTCTTCTGTTGCAGGTAGAGGAACTAGCCCTCCAAGCAATGATTAATTCTGGAAGAGGGGAGGAGATGCCGACCTCCCTGCCCGTACCACAGCAGCCCCAAGATGTAAGCGTCATCCGGACAGGCTTGGGAGGGACGGGCCAGTGCACTGTGCTCACGTGACCCTGTCTGGAGAGCCCTGGGAGCACCAAGCAGAGTCTTAGGCTTTAATAAGCTTTTTGCCAGCCAGTCACACAGTCCTGGTTAAGGAGTTACCGACATTGCTTCCACCCTCCTGGCCGCTCCTGCTCGCTCCTCGCACAGATGAGTCCAGCGTATGGAGACAGTTACAGGGCCAGGTCACAGTCCTTGCTTGCTTTGGGAATCAGGAATTTCAGCACGGGAAAATAGAGTGTGACTTCACCTTCCAATCTACAGCACGGCAAGCTCCAAGTTCAATCCTCATGTCGCCCCTCTTCCCAAAGCCTTCAGATGAGGCCATGAACTCCCAGGCTTTCTAAAGGCCCCATGAGAGCTGTTCTCCTCCGTGAACGTTACACGGTGGCCCAGCCCAGCCCAGTTCTTACGTCAGGGCTGTGTGCACGCCAAACAAGGGTTTAGTCAACCTGGGGGCAGTTAGCAATGGGGATGGGCAGAGGAGTGGCAGCCAGGGCACTTGGTCATAATTAAAGCAAGTAACTATCATTCCTTGATTTTAAAGCTTTTTCTAGAATGTGCTAATGTGTAGTGTCTTTGGCTAACACAGATGTTGCTGCATGTGGACAATGAGGCGTCCATCAACCAGACTGCACTGGAGTTGAGTACAAGGAGCCATGTGATGGAAGAGGAGGAGGAGGAGGAGGAGGAGGAAGAAGACGACTCAGACTCCTAAAGAAGGCAAAGATCTACTTCAAGAAACCCTCGTTGCCTGGCCGTGGGCCTGGCTCACCGAGGAAGCCAGGAGGATGTGCCGCGGTAAGAGCCACTCCGGCAGAAACTCAAGTTCCACAATCTCCTGCCACAGCCTGCTGCACAGCAAGGTGTGCGAGGTGCTGTGTCCAACACAGAACGTCCTCTGGAGTGATGAGAAAGTCTGGCATCTGCAGAATGGACAGAGTTTACATTTCAAACCGCCATTTCCAAAGGCAATTAATGAAAGACTGTTTGCCACTGAACTGTTGGGAAAGATGATAAGGGGCAGGCCAGCGGCATTGAGTGACACTGCCAGTTAACAGGCTGCTTGGGAGAAGTTAGGACATCCAGCTCAGGCAGCAGAGACATGATGCGCTTAAAGATACACCAAGAAAAGCGGTCAGGAAGTGCAACAGGCAGCAGGATGGTTTGAGCCCGTGTGGGCCCGCAGGAGCAGGGCAGTGGAGGCACAGGGAGGGCTTAGGGGACAGCCGGGTCAGAGCACACGGATTCATGTCCTGTTGCTTCCAGGGAGTCAGAGAACGCAAGTGTTGGGTCCCCTGCCACACCATGTCGGAGACCAGGGGACCCAGATGGAGTCCTAGCTCCCAGCCTGGCCCTGGATTTATTCCTCAACAGTGATCCAGTAGGTGGAGAAAATGAACAAATAAATCACTGTGCTTGGGTGACTGACTGAATCTTTATCAGAAAAAGAGCAGCTTTAGAGTCAGTGCGGAGCTTCCTGTCTGAGGGTGGGATTCATGTCAGCAGCTAGTCGCATTCCCACTGAAAATGGCTAAAGCCACGGTCATTTGATGCTATATATCTTCCCCCCCTGCCAGAGGAACACTCCAGACAAGGAAAACACCGCCTACATGTCCACCTGCTCCAGAAAGCATAGATACCTTTTGTCAACCAGTAATTTATTCCAATTACTGCGAGCTTCCTCCCACAGGAATGAGGTAGTTCTTTGGAACAGACACTTTTGCAGCTCCATTTAAAATGCAACTAGGGAGTGTGATTAAACAAACAGAGACAGTTCCCATCTCCGGTTCACTTTCACACTACCTGCAACTCTTGTGTGTGTAGATAGGAACCCAACTGCTCAGCATTCACCTCTGCCCTCCCGGCATCTGTGTTAGCAGGAAGCTGCAGTCAGGACTACACCCGGGGTGCACTAAAGTGGGAACCGCTGGCTGCAGACCCCACCGAAACAACCATCATCTTCCCAAGTGTGACAGCCAGCTGTCCTCTTGGCTCTGGCGATGGTGAGGTGCTCATGTGGTCCCACTTCAGAATCCCACGGGGGCTGAGGTCTCAGTAAAAGGAAGCTGGAGGAAGGAGCGGGCCCATAACACCAAAAGATGCACATGCTGCGTGGTGGTGTAGTGAGGTAATCCTCTACCTGCGGTGCCCTCATAAGGGCTGCTCCACTTCTGATCCACCTCCCTGCTAATGGGGATAGCAGAAGCAGCAGAGCATGGCTCAAGGTCATGGGTGCCTGCAGCCTGATGGGAAACTGGGAAGAAACTCAGCTCCTGGCTCCCAGCTTTGGACTAGCCCATCTCTGGCCACTGCAGCTATTTGGAGAGTGAGCCAGCAGATGAAAGATATCTTTACCCCCATTCTGACTTGTGAGTAAAATAATTTTTCTCACATCAATTGGCAGAGATTTAGAGGACCCCTCAAGACACAAAGCATTCACAACGTACTTGAAGCTAGGCTAAAGGTTTCATTGTTCTTCCCACCTAATTAGTGGCGACATGGGGCTTAATATGGTGCTGCAGAGGCAGGGGTTAGGCTGCTGGCCTGGGCAGCTGCGGGCGCTCTGGCTGTGTGGACCCCATGTGCCGGGGCTCTTGGGGTGACTGCCTACCCACAATGCTTTACCTTAAGGCCAGCTTTAGGCCTTTCACTATTTTTGTTGTTGCTGTTGAAAAAGCTGGGGGAGAGGGGCCATCTCCCATTTGCTAGTTCATTCCCCAAATGGCTGCAATGGCCTGAGCTAGACTGTCCAAAGCCAGTAGCTTCCCCTGGATTTCCTGCATGCAGATGCCCACCCCAGCACTTGAGCCATCCTCTTCTGCTTTCCCAGGGAACTATCAGAAGTGGGGCAGCCGGGATTCAAACTCCCACCCATATAGGATATAGGTGCCAGCCTCAGGCTTGGCTTTACTTTGAAATACATAAGTTAGCTTTGGTTTTCTAAAACCTGCCCCTTCAAAGAAAGGAAGGAGCAAGGTGGTAGCCAGACTCCACCACATGTACCACAGTTCCCAGTCATCCCACACAGAAGGCACCCTGGGGTACCAGTGCCACCCCACAGACACCAACAAACCCATGCCAGGCACACTCGTCCTCTTCTGGATTGAGGTGCAGGCTCCATCATGGAAAAGGAGACACTAAGTGGAGACAGTGACTCTGAGGTGTACCCTGCCGCCTCCCCTCCCCGTGTACAGGGAAGAGTTCCCAGGGCCTGGGAGTGTGATCGCAGGGAGACCCATGGGTCCCAGCCCCGGCTCAGTCATGCCACTTCTTACCTGCTGCAGGGCACAAAAAAGGCCACCACAAATGCAGCCATCTCCCAGCCTTCTCAATGTGATAGTGTATTTATTAGAATAAGAGATTTGATTTTGTTAAACATCTGGATTAAAATGGTTAAAAGGACTTCCATACAATTTATAGGCACTATACACATGGCTGTTTACAATAGCATAGGTACTGAGATTGGGAGGAAAGAGAAATCTGACATACTTTAATGCCTTGATCCATTTGCAACATTCAAAATAACTCCACCGTTTTAGAAACAGTACTCCAATCTTGGAGACATTTACCACTAAATATCCCACACAGTGTATTTAAAAAATAAATATAGAAACACAGCCAGCAGTCTACGCATCCCCACGGTAGACAGACTGGTGAAGCCCCAGCTATCCTGGCAGTGAGGGGCTCTGGGTAGTCTGATGGAAACTGGGGAGTTCTACATCAAGAGCAAAGGAAAAAAAACCCAAAAACAAAGCCACCCGGTAAGAAAAGTAATGCGATGTGCACTTCCTGGTGCTCGCTTCATAGCAGCAAAGCATGCTTCACATGCACTGCCTGGGAATGGGCCTGGGGCGTCCTGCCCGCAAGGGGGAGTGCCACCAAGTGTCGGGGAGTCCTGGAGCCGGGGGTCACCAGAGGGTTCACTGCAGCTGAGCCTGGCACATGTTTTGATCACCCACAAACTCATAAACAGCCCCAAGCACAAAGCCAATCCACTCAGGGGAGTCACAACAGTATTAAGGAGAGACAGCGACAGAGTGACACCAAGAGATTTGGCACATGCTGTGTTCTTCATCCTTTGTCACAGGTGAAATGTACGCCTGAACAGAGACGGGCATGGGGAAGAGACCCGAAAGCAGCACGCACATCGAAGGGCAGGGGCCGCGCTCACACACCAGCCGCGTGGGTCGGTGTGCTGGGCTGATTCAGGCCGATGGTGGAGCATAGCCAACCTGCAAAATCTACTTCCTCAGCGTCCGATCTCTTGATGAAAGCATGAACCTGCAAATGGGGAAATGGGGGAGAAGAGGCATTTTAAGAGTCAGAAAGAAAGACCGCAGAGGACAGGGGTGTAGAGCTTCCAGAGCCTAGCCTGGAGGCCTTGGCCAGCATAGGACAAGACAGGCCTACGTGGTCACAGGGCTAGCAGGGCTGCAGAAGAGGGTGCCCAAGGCCCAGCAGGCTGGTCAGGCGCTGGCATGTGAGCAAGTGTGCTGGCCCCTTTCCTTTGGATTTCCCTGACTGTGGGGTCCCCTGGCTTTTTCTTCACGGAAGGACAGAGGTGGCTGGTGCCAGGCAGCCCACTAAACAGGCTCAGCTGGGTCACAGGTGTCAGGCTCAGGGGGCCCCACGCAGGTGACCCACGGGCATGGGGACAGGCCTGGAATACACGGACTCACCATAAGCTGCTTTAGATCCGCTCTCTCGGCAGGGTTCTTTATCAAGCTGTGGAAGAGACGAGACTGGGTGAGGACACTGCCTGGCATTGCTTCCCACAACTGCTCCTGCTGCCCCTACCTCTGCCCAGAGCAGTTCCTGGGCCATGCTGGCCTCTCCCCGCTATCTTAGCCCAACAGCACAGGGACTCCTGCCCAAACTGAGGTCACAAAGCACCATGCCAGTCCCTGGAGAGCAATGCCAAGGGCAGCGGCTACAGCAAGGCACACCACACAGCCCCCAAACTGCAAGAAGGGATGTCTGGGTATGCATAGGGGCACATGTGGCATACCCAACAGAGGCCAGGATGTTGGGTGGGAGCCAACTTACCATTTATTCACAAAATCTTGAAACTCCAGGCTGAAGACTGCACTGGGCAGTTTCGGAGGAGGCTGTAAACAAAGGGCAGGCCATGAGACACACCTGCCTACAGCTCCAGGCGGCACCCTGGCCTGCCCCAGCCCCACCCTGCCAGAACCACAGGCCTCACAGGGCACAGGCAGGACCAGCACCAAGCCAAGCATTCTACTACTTGCTTGCCTGGTGATGTCCAACAAATCACTGAGCCTCAATGTTCCCTGCCTATGACAAGAGGTGGCTTGAGCTCTGTCTATACAACTGAAAATCCTGCAGGGTGGCCTGGACCCAAACCAGCAGTGACTAGCAGCAGCAGCTAGGGGGCAGTGCAAGCCACCAGGCAGAGCTCAGACCAGGGCATAAAACCAGGGAAAATAGTCCCTTTTTAAGAGCAGCACCCAGCAGGAGAAAGGCCACCTGCAGGCTGGGGACTAAGAGTTCACTTAGGCACAGCAGGCAGCGTGTCAATGCACAGCCCCACATCAACAGGCGATCTGCAATGAAACAGACCTGATGCCCTCTACTAGAAAGCCCTGCCTGCCTTTCGGAGGCCCTTTGTGTCTGAGCTGAGCTTAACGCCTAGGAACACGAGTAAGCCCCGCCACTGAGCGCATGTGCAGGCTGCAAGGAATGAAGGCAGAGTAGCAGCTCAGTCCCAGCACGCCTACATCCACTCCTTCCCAGGGGATGGCAAAAGACTGGGTGGGCAGAGCCGGACTCCTCTGTGTGAAGTCACACAGGAGTGTGAGGCTGTGGAAGCCTGCAGCACACCCAGGAGAGCAGGGCAGGCCCCCTCCTGCTCCCATGGGTCCCCAGAGCCACCAGTGTGGGGCCTGAGCAGTACAGGATGGACAACAGATGGCTCCTCCTGAAAACGGGCATGCACCCCGCCTCCCGTAAAATCTGAACATCCTGCTGCTGTGCACAGGACTTCGTGCAAAGCTGGGTAGATACTAGTGAGCTGTCAATCAAACCCTGGCGACTGGGAACTTGTGCCAGGGAGAGCTTGGCTTGCGGCCTGCTGGGTCTGTGACAGACCTGGGGACCTTGAGCCTTTCCTGTAGTGGTCCTGTGGGCCATGGAGTCCAAGACGCTGCAGCCCAGGCCCACGGTGCCCATGCAGCCCGAAATTCAGTTTGCTAAGAAAGTGCAGGATGCACTTTCATAAGAGAATAGAGCTAGCCCGCTGGTCCTACACGGCAGCCAACGGTAGGCTGTCAGCTGCCTCCCAACTCGCCAGAATTTGTCCCTTCCCTGCAACCAGCCAGGGTTCTCCCCCCTGAAGCAGGGAACACTGACCGTGCCTTCTCCACCCCCCAAGATCCCCCAGCTGGCCCATCCATGTCCAACAGTCCTGTAGCTCCTCCACACGCCCTCCTTGCAATTCCTTAGGGGTGGAGAGGTATTCGCCTTGTCTGTCCCACAAATTCCAGGGACTTGGTGTTTCTCCATCCCGCTACTGTTCCCGCCCCCACCTGCAGTCCTTGGGACACAGTGGGTGCACAAGAAAACCTGAGGATGCCTTGGAGTCCTGGCTTGGAGGGACGCGCAGCCACCCAGGGACCACCAGAGTTTCAGTTCCTGCAGTGCCATATGCAAAGCAGAACCCTGGAACCCTGGGCCCACATAGAGTGACCTGCAGGTATCCCAGTTGGCTCAGCTGTGGGTGTTTTCTGAAGAGAAGTAAACCCAAGCAGCCAGGTGGTGCTTACCTCATTGACGATGTAATCCAACAGCTCAAAAATCGCCATGGGAGGCCGGCTGTCCATGCCGTACGCTACACGTTTTGTGGAAGGAAAAGAGAATGCTGTTCAGAGCCAGCTGCAAGATGGGCACAGATCCCGGGGGCCCACAAAAGTCATGGAGCACAAACAGGTGGCACAGCCACAGAGGAGGGCTGCCTACAGAGGGACCCACACACCGTCATGGCCAGCCCGTTGGGGTCCAAGCCCAAGGGCTGGGATTTGTAAAGCAGAGGGAGAATGTAACTACCCTCTTGCTCATGCTGAGAGCCAATAAGACAACATACTAGCTAATGGCGGGACTTGGCTTTGCTCCTCCCTGAACGTGGGTTTCTTTGTTCCACAGTGCAGAGCTACAAGCCAGCTCAGGGGCTCCAGCCATCGGCTACTTCTGGCCAATCTGCTCCTTCCACATGTGCTGTCGTTCTCCATATAGACCTCAGGGAGCCAAGGCTAGTCTCCTCGGCCAGAGTTCTCCCCGGTGCCAGGTAGACCCCTGGACACGCACACCCCGAGGAGGATAGCGGTCATCCTGGGAGTCAAGCATTCTGTGGCCCCGTTTGCTCAGCTCCACAATGGAGCCCAGAGCGCAGAACTCACAGCTACCCTGCTCTTAAACACAGATGATGCTGGGTAAGTCGTGGGGACAGAAGGAAGGTCAGGTGCTGCCAGCAGACAGGGCAGGAATGCTAATGGGACCGGACTCTCCCTGTGGGCTGATGCAAATGGTCTGGAATGAAACATCTGTGAGGAGCTAGACACCACAGCACCTGACACTTCCACATTGTATGCCCTGTGGACTGTATCAAATGAAAAACCGACCGCAACAGGTCATGATGAACAGCCAGCTGAGATCAAAAGCATAAGCCAATCTGTGGAACCCAGTGGGAACCCCACAAATGACAGGAAACTGTTAACATAATTTTGCCCACCACCCCAGCACCTAGGGCCAACCCAGCCTTCCTGAAACCGCTGACCGTGAGGAAATGTCCCTCCCCAGGCCACTCACAGCTGAGGGGCCTGCCAGGGGTCCGAGGCCTGGCCGGGGTCTCGGCTGCCTCTCCCTCCACCTGGCACCCGAACAGCAGCTCCAGCTCCTTGGCGTCAGGTGGCGGGATGGGGTAGCGGCCCACAGCCATCTCCACCAGAGACAGCCCCATGCTCCAGATGTCGGACTGCACGGAGTAGTGCGTGCCCTGCAGTCTCTCCGGCTGTGGACAGAGACACACGCAATTAGGACCCCAGGCCCGCCAGCCCACCCCTGCTCCTAAACTCCATGCCCACCAAACCCTCTCTCGATCCCCCCTTCCACCGTTCTGCCTGCTACTCTTACCTGCAGTGCCTACCCAAAGCCCCACCCAAGAAGCTGACAGTGGGTCGGAATCTTACGTGGGAAGCAGGGAGCACACATCACAGCACCCTGCCTCACAACCCAATCAAATCTGATCACTCCCCTAGGCTCCACCATCAGGCACCCTAGGGTAACTCCACTCCATCCTTAATGTATGAATCAAGACATAGGGTTCTGGACCATGCACAACATGGTGCACTGGGTGGACAGAACAAAGGGTCTGAGAGTCCAAGTCCCATCTTTGGGTTGTCAAGGAGTTCCTAAGCTTCAGCTTCCTCTTTATAAAAATGGATTGTGGGGCCTGGCGTTGTGGCCTAGCAGCTAAAGTCCTCATCTTGAATGTGCTGGGATCCCATATGGGCACCGGTTCTAATCCTGGCAGCTCTACTTCCCATACAGCTCCCTGCTTGTGGCCTAGGAAAGCAGTGGAGGACGGCCCAAAGCTTTGGGACCCTGCACCCGTGTGGGAGACCCAGAAGAAGTTCCTGAATCCTGGTTTCAGATTGGCATAGCATCGGCCGTTGCGCTCACTTGGAGAGTGAATCATCAGATGGAAGATCTTCCTCTCTGACTTTCCCCTCCTCTCTGTATATCTGACTTTCCAATAAATAAATAAATCTTAAAAAAAAAAAAATGGATTGTGGTGCTGGGGTGGTAGCTCAACAGGCTAATCCCTCCACTTGTAAGTGCCAGTATCCCATACTGGCACCAGTTTGTGACATAGCTGTTCCACTTTCCTTCTAGCTGCTCCCTGATGGTGGCTGGGAAAAGCAGCAGAGGATGATCCAGGTCCTTGGGCCCCTGCACCCATGTGAGAGAACCAAAGGAAATTCCTGGCTTCAGATCAGCTCAGCTCTGGCCATTGTGGCCATTTGGGGAGTAAACCAGTAGATAGAAGATCTTTCTTTGTCTCTCCTCTCTGAAAATTTCCCTTTCAAATGAAAATAAATAAATCCTTATATTAAAAGCGGGGGCTGCTGCTGCTGCTGGTGACAGTGACAACACGGCCAAATGCTCACCCTACTCCTTAGTTAACTGAGAAGGGCGGATGAAATGAAGCCTTACACTGCATGCTGAAAGGTGCTGCACAATCAAGTATGATTGACAGTGGTTGAATGAGCCTAATAGAAAAACCTACACAGAACTACACAAAAATGTATTTCAAGAACTTTATGAGAACATTTTTATTCTGACTCTAGTATATTTATTTAGACTGACTTCTCCCTCAGGGTTTTGCACCAACTCTGTTTTGCAGCCAACCACAGAAGGAACCACAGAGATTCAAACCACTGTACCCTGGGCTGCCAAGGCCCACTGCCTGCTGATCAAATTTGAACCTGGAAGTTGGCAGTGGAGTAGCTCAGGACAGCAGCTGCTTAGCTCAGAGCTGTGTGGGGAAGAAGCTGGGAGGCGAGGTGCGGGAGAGCTCTCCCATGGGTCACTCACTGCACAGCACAGAAGCAGGACAGGGCACTCGGGTATGGCAGAACGCACTGGTTACTGGGCTGCCCAGTGAGGTGGCTTTCAGTCCTGCCTGATCAGGGCTAGGGCTGGAGCATCTGTGTCCCTGTAATCAGGGCTTCAGTTCCCAAAGTCTTCAGTGGTTGGCATGGAGAGGGTGGAGACATACTATAACACCCATGGTTGGAGGTGAGGTCTGTGGGCTGTGACTGGACCCTAAAAGTCACAGGGTAAAGCCCCAATTCTGAATCCCAGGGCTTAGTAGGGAGCCACAAGCACACACTCTCACACCATGACTCCTGCCAAGGGATGCTCTGGCCTCACTGGAACTAGGACTATCACTTTGGACACAAATCTGCGTGGCCACTTGGGACACCTTCCTCTCATACCTGAATGCCAATTCAAGTCTCAGCAATAGCACCCTCAATCCAGCTACCTGGGAATGTAGCCTGGGAGGCAGCCAGGAGGGCTCAGTGCTTGGGTTCCTATCACCCAAAGGGGAGACCTAGATGGAGCTCCTGGCTCCTGGCTTTGGCCCAGCCCCAGCCCTGGTTGCTGTAGCCATTTGCAGATTTGGAGAATGAAACAGTAGGGGGGTGGGGGGGCGGGGCAGGTAGGTTGTAGTTATAGCTTCTCTAGAATTTGGGCTTTCAAGTAGATGAAAATCAGTTTTTTAAAAAGTGAGCCAAAAGAGCTTTTGCTCCTGAAAGTGCCTTTTTCTTTCTTTCTTTCCTTTTTTTTTTTTTGTGATCTCCTTTCGAGTTTTTAATTATCTGCTTTTGCTCTACTTGAAAAAGAAAGATCGATCAAAGCTGGGGGCCCTGCAAGGGCTCAAAGGGCAGAATAACAGGGGAGGTATGTAGGAGACAGGGAGCTTACTGTCTCCCAAAGGGAGGCCGAATTCTGTCCCCAAACACCCAGGGCCTGCTGGGGGGCAAGGCCCCAGGCATGTAGGTGCGTCTGGGCCTGTGAAAGGCTGCAGCCTTGTTGGACGGGGGATGCAGTACCATGGCTCAGCCTTCACCCATCACTCAACACAGTACTGGAGCCAGAAAGGCATCCCCTGGCTCCCATCTGTGACTGCCCCTGCTATGGCTGCACGTACCGACATGTAGGACCTAGTGCCCACGAAGGAGTTGGCCATGGAGTCGATGAGCTGCCCACTGACCCCAAAGTCGCAGAGCTTTATCTCCCCACGCGAGTTGACCAGGATGTTGGAGGGCTTGACATCTGAGAGGGAGAGAAAGTAGAAGTGAGGGATGGCTGCCATGCAGGCTGGACACAAGAAGGCTCTGTGCCCCACACAGGCCTGGAACAAATTTCCTGTCCTGACCAGAGCTAATCTTCAGCTTGCAAATGCTGGGCTGTGTGGCCCCTGATCTGCCCATCTTGACGAGGGTGAGGAAAAACTGTCAGGAGATGAAACAGCCACTGCTGTGATCATAAGATAGCAAGCTGGGCACCTCCACATTCCAGGGACACAGACGTGGCCATATGACATGCAGGACAAGATGTCATCATGAATACCCAAGGTCTCCATCCACTGCTTCAACCCCACCTCCGCCCCCACCCTCATTCGGGCAACACACAGGGCCTTGGACTGCTCAGAAAGGAGGCAGACACACCCACCACTGAGGCCATGACTCAGACACCAAAGGGATGGCTGACGGGCAGCTCCTGTTACTGACTTCCATGTTAGGAACTCATGTGGCAGCCAGTAGCCCTGCCACTCAGAGCAGCAGCCCTTCCCTGCACCCCCAGCCTTGCCCACTGGCCATGACCTATACTAGGCCTCCATCTGCAGAGAGAAGCCACCTGCCTCAGCTTCACACAACCACCCTGCAGAGTGGACAGGCCAGAGCCTGCACTCCTCAGTGTTCAATGGGCAGCCTCAGTAAGTAATGAGAGACGCACCATGGGCAGGCCATGTCCAGAGTCAAGATCCTAAGCGCAGACAGGCCCCACCTCCCAACCACTATCTCAGGGGATATCCAAGAAGTCCTCACCACCCGCCAGGGCCATCACTAATATTGCACTACTTCCCTCTAATGGCCATCTCTTTCGTCTCAGACGGAATCTAACAAGGCTACTGAAGTACCTCTCCAAGAACTGAAGGGGGAAAAAAAAAAAAGAGTATAACCCCCACAGCGGCCTAGAAGTCCCTCTCAGCCCCAGCCTCTCTCCACCCTATCGGCCCTAAGCACCATGGGGCAGAAGAGAACATGGGCCCAAGCAGGTGAACGGACATAGGCTGGCAGGTGACGCATGCACACACGTACTCATGGCCACTGATGCAGACTGGCCAAAGCTTGGCCATCATCCCTTTCTGTGGTCTCCCAGGCAGCACCAGACCTTACCAAGCCCTATACAACCTGCAGCCTTGACAGCCTTCCAGGACATCTGGCTCCTCCCCTTTCCCGATGCAGAGTCCCAGGTCCCCACAGTCACTCTGCCTCGGCTTTAACATAACAGAGCACTAATTGATTTGGAAAGACAGCAAGCAGGTCCTATGGCCTCCCAGGGACCTATGGGGAGAGCCAGCACTCCCAAACAGGCCTGGTGCAGCGGCAGTCAAGGAGTAAACTTGGCAGCTGCTGATCGAGACCTGACCCCAATCCAAAGCACTCAGAACCACTCTGAGGGGACAGAGCCCTGGAGGTGGGATGCGTTCAGGGTGGAAGAAGCAGGGAAGAGAGCTGGGCCTGCCCCATGCCTGCTGGGGCTCTCCCACCAGAGCCCACCTCCCTCCACACACCACAGCCTCTTGTACCCAGGCTGGACCTTGCTGCCCTCGCACCTCTGACTATACCAAATGTCCCCGATGGCCTGTCTGGACATGATCTGTCAGGCCTTGTTTGGGAGTGGGAGAACGGCACTGGCTAAGAGAAGACAAGCTGGGATGCAGTCCTGGCCCTAGCACCAGCTGGCCACCCAGATAGCCCAGCCTGCAGCAAGTCACTTCATGCTGTTTCTGATGTGGAAGCAGCCACCATGGGCTCCCAACACTCAACACAGAGGAGCAGTAACCCAAGCAAAGCAGAGCGCAAACAGCTGCCATGGAGACGAGTACAAGGGTTGGGCCTGCCACAAGCGCCCTGCCCAAGTGCAGCGTCAGGGAGGCAGGGCCCACTCCTCCCCTGCAGCCACTTCTCCCCCTGCCGCGCGCCTCTAGCTGTCCCTGGATTCTGTTTTCCAGTCGCACGGCACAAACAGAACTCCTCTTGTCAAACTTACATAATGCTGCCGTCAGCTCTGGCTTCTCCTGCCCCAGGGAGGGCAGCCTGGGGGCTGGGTAAGGAGGACAGCTTGAGGGGCTCTTCTGCAGGAGCCATGGGGACCTGGCAAGTAGAGGCTGAGGACCACCCCCAGACCCCACAGCCCATCCCACAGCTCTCAGGCCACAGCAGAATGGAAGTGTGTGATGGCAGACCAGGCCCTGACCTCCCTGGGTCCCTAAGCTGGCTCCCACAGCAGCCAGCCCCTCCCCACAAAGCCCCTGTCCCCACTTGTCCGCACAACAACTGTGGCTCCCAGCTGCCTGCCAGAGCACGCTGGGCTTCCTCAGGCCTGGCTTGCTAAGTCCTCCAGGGGTCCTTCCTTACCTCTCTGCCTTCACCCCAACATGCCCCTCCTCCTCCTCCCTGACCAGCCCTGCCCAGCCTTCTCCACCCCTCCTTCCCCTATGCTGCTCCCCTCATGTGACCCATCCTCCTATCTATCTACCCTCTCACCTCCACTGCTGGGTGCCCCTTCTCCCCATTCCCCTCCCCAACCTTGAAGATTGCCCTGGCACAAGCACACTGTCCTAGCAGAATCCTTAAAGGCTGTTCCCATCACAGCCCATCTCCACCTCCCAAAGCCCCTTTCAGGCTGGGGGCCGGGCTGTGTGCTGGAGTACCACTAGCCCTTGGTCAGGCTGGGCGAGGCTTCCCAAAGAGCCCTGCGGGCCACTGAGACATGACAGCCACCCCTTGCAACCATGGGGATGGGAAGCAGTGCTTTCTGCAAAAATTAATGATGAGGTTTAAGAAAAAACGAGAAATACATTGTTCTGATTCTTCTCTGTCCCAGAAATAACCACCGCTCCAAGTCCTGGCTGCCTTCACGGGCACAGGCTGTGAAGCAGAACTCCAGAGCATCCCCCTCCTTGCAAATCAGAGACCTGACTACAATCCTTCAGGGGGCTGTGTGTTCTAGGCACACAGGAAGTGCCTGCTCTGAGCAGCGAGTACAAGGGACACAGCCCTTGTCCCTATCCCCACACCACCCCTGCAGACAGAACCCAACAAATCACCAGCATACAAGTGTCCTGACAGCTGAGATGGAGTAAATCAGTGGATGAAAAATCTCTCTCCATCTCTGCTTCTCTCTGTAACGGTCTTCAGATAAAAATTAATAAATCTTAAAAGAGAAAATAACAAAAGGCCTCAATCCCAAGAAAAGGCAGAAGAGGGGGTGCAAGGAGGAAAAAAAGGAAGACAACAAAGGTGGGACAAAGGTGAAAGCTGTGTCTCCCACCTGAGACACAGAACTAATCCAGAACTGAGAGGACATTGGCTAAACCAGAATTTAAGGGCTTTTTTGTTTGCTTTTTAAATAAAGACTCTGAGTTGATTTAAATGGTGGTTTAGCCTCCGCCCACCTCCCCGGCAGGGCTGGCTGTGGCCTTCTCCCAAGATGGCCGATGAGGTTTCTGGGAGTCACCTCGGGCTCTCTAGGGCCTCAGGGAGCTCACTGAGCAGCAGATAGAAGGCAGAGGACACCCAAACCCTCCAAGGAGCATTCCCTGACACCTCCCTCTGCCACCCGAGCTCTTGTTCTTCAGAGTGCTGACAGAGGGTCCCAGCTTTCTCCTGTCCCCTTGCCAAGGCAAGCAAGGGGGTGGGGTGGGGGCAGAGCTGACAGGTGAAAACAGCCGAGGGGAGCAGGGGAAGCGCCTGGGTTCAGCACACTCAGACCAGATGGCACCCTCCCCAGGGCAGACTGCGAGCAGCAGGCATGCCATCCAGGAACTGGGGCCAGGGTCCAGTCACCCCTGCTCCAAATGCTGAAAAAGAGAAGGCAGAGCCTGGTGGGGCTGGGTCGAGGAGAGAGCACAAAGCTTCCTGTTCAGCTCCAGCCATCATGCTCCTTGACAAGCCCAAGGGCAGCTGCATGTTGTTCCCACTCCCTCTGATGAACCACCTCATGCCAATGAGGAGCCTCTGGAGCTGCCCGCCAGGGCCTGACCAGCTGCTATTTTGGTCTCTCTCTCCTTGTAAGAGTCTCACAGCCAAACTGAGCAACTGTGCTGCAGGGTCTGCTCCCTTCCCATCCAAGACTCCTAGGGTTTTACTCCTCTTCCCCACACCCTGCTTGCTCCCTGACAGCCTGCTGCTCCCTGCCCTCACCCCCACTCAGGCACACAACCGTGATGTGACATGATGGTTCAAGGGTTCAGGACTGGCTTTCCATTCATGCACACCATTCTAACACATGGCCTACATTTGTCAAACACTATGCAGCGAAAGTCGGAGCTCGGGGAACGAGGGATACACTAGAGGGAGTTGAGGGGAAGCCAGCGGCTGGGATAAGAATGGAAAGAGCTCCCAGATGTCCGGGCTTGCTCCCAGTGACTGCATCTGGCAGAGCAGGCCTATTTTACAGAGACGGGGGCTCAGGCTGAAGTCCGCCACGCTCACACCCTTTCCCATCTGGAGACCTTGTACTGGAGCACCGTGTCTCGCCCTGTGGACTGCATGGGATACTTGGGGAGAGGAGCAGGCAATGTGTCTGTCACAAAGTCAAGCAACCACTCACAGGCAGGAAAAGCATGCTGGCCAATGGGGATACACATGCTGTTCAAGAAAGGGCAAGACGTGGGGAACAAGCCTCAACCCACTGAAGGCCAATCCTGCCCAGCAGGAAGAGATGGGGAAACACAAATTATGACGAAAGCAGGCAGGCCGGATGGAGCACCAAGCACTTGTGAGGGGTGGGCGAGAACTTCCAATGAGGCCACTCTATTTATGGTAACCCAGGTTCCGCCCAAGTAAGGCATCACCAATTGTGCCCAGGGTCCACTCAGCATAAAACACTGAAAAAGTAGTCTAAGGGCTTGTGTAGCACTTTAAGCTGCTGCTGCTGCCACTGCCTAGAACGCTGGCACCCCATATGTGGGCACTGATTCAAATCTAGGATGCTGTGCTTCCAATCCAACTCCCAGCTAGCTACTGGGTCTGGGAAAACAG